TAATATTTTTATCCAAGGTTATCATACCATCAGAATCCTATACCGACTCATGCCTGTTAATGTGCATGTAAATTTGTTAATGATAGTTACAAGATTAAAAGGTTCTACATTTAATATGTACCTGGTAATTATCAAAGCTGCTGTTGTATTAAAATATATATATTTTCACATTTATTTAACAGCAAATTCTAGGGATTTTAGGGAGTTTCTGAAATTAATTTTAACATGCAAGAGCTAGAAGTGAGACACACCCATATGACTAGTTAGTTGACATTTATTATTTGTCTCCCAGACTATGTAAAGTACACGTGTGCATCAACTGTGTTTTAAATGGTGGTTCAGTTAATAGTTGTATTTTACATCAGAATTTCAATTCATAGCATGCAATTATGAAGATTAAACTTATGCAGTTGATAATATCAGGAATAATTAAATTGCTGAACCTTATTTTTGCATAATTAGCTCTCCCTATTGACCCACTTCAACCATACTGTTGCTCAGTCAAACACCGACTCATTTAATTAAAAATTCACAACACCTTTCCATGTTTGACTAGCCTAAAGCAGCCGCCCAACACAAGGCCTGATCCTTTCTTCTCTACTAAATAGACAAACAAGAGGTGTCTCACCACTGTTAGTTTATGCTGTTGCGATGAAAAATATTTACTTTAAAACTAATTAAAATGTTCAACAAATTTACATTTTGGTTGCTGTTTTTGTTTTTTACTATTTATAAGCCACTAAAGTATTTTCAAAGCAGTATTTATTTATTTAGTTTATTACTGCATTCTGTCCTGCAACTATGCCCAATTTGGATTTTATGCACATTTGTTTTTTTTTTTTTTTTTTTCCTTAATCAAAATGCAGAAGTAGCATTTTCATAAAGCTGCAGCTAAACTATATGTGCACATTCAAAGGCTTAAATCAATCCTAGAGCCAAGGGTGAAGTTATTATATCCATTAACAGTAATTTGGACAAATATGATGTGATTTAATGGAAAGGTTTGTGAGTAGTGTGGCATAATTTGGAACCGCAGTCACATGTGGGTGCTGTGGACAGATGCTGATGTGTGCTGCTGCTGTTTGTACACTTACAGAGAAAATGTTCAAATTTTTTAAAGACATGGCGCTGTGCCTCTCACTTTGTCTGCAACCCCTATTAATGTGATTAACAACTCTTGTACACACAGACAGTATCTTTACAGAATATCCTCAGACAGAAGGTTGGTTTATGTGAGACATGAAATGGGTAGGTGATGCATTTCTTTTGCTTATCTGCCATTACATAGTGTTTATGTGCCCAGACATGTAGCTGAATAAATCATTATAGAGCTGAAAGCATAAAAGTCCCATAGCTGGTCTAGACGCTGTCTCTTTCCCTTTACAAATAGAGCACTGGTTATTGGAAACCCTGTTTGTAGCCACATGTTTTTGGACATGTAATCTGTACAAAAAGTCTACAACTGCGTCCTATATGGCTTAACATTTCTGGTTGCAGTTGGGGGATATTCTGTTTATCCTTTTTTTTTGTTTATTGGTGTTTTATCAATGAGAGGTCTTACTGAGTTTGGTTTGTTTTACAGATGAGCCATTCTAAGGACCGCTTGTGCTACTTTTTCGTTAACATTTGGATACTGAGTTTTATTCTTTGTGTAATTCAGGGAAGTAAAGCTGCATTTCCCCTACTTACCGAAAGAATAGTAAACCTAACAATTATTTGTTTAAAAGGGAAGTAATAGCTTTACTACGCTGCATGCACACACTGTCTCTCATGAAAGTGTTTTTTTTTTCTATTATTATTTCTTCAGCAGCCTCAGAGTGCTTTGCTATATTTGACTGCTCCACATGACCTGCTGGTTCACTTTACGGCTACAGTTCAATTTTGTGCTCAAGTGCTCATTGTTTACTTTGATTTTACATGAATTTTATTCCAAATGATTGTTAGTTCTCTCAGTGCAAGTTAAAACATAAAAGTACACAAAAACATTGTGAAAGTAATCCATGTGAACTGAGGCATTTAATTCAAGTTAAGTCAAGGGTTTAATTTACCCTTTTATTCATGAATAAATATTGATCAATGCATAGACATGGGGTCAAATTCAGTAAATGGAAGCTCAAAATAAGTTTTCATACCAAAATATGGCTCTTCAACCAAAATAAGTACATAAGGTTGAATATCAGATGATTGGTCTATAAAAAGAGAACTTGTATAAATGTAGATTTACATTTAAAAAGGACTTGTTTTAATATTATTTGTAATGCACCAAATTTTGTGCCACAGTAGTTATAAATACCCTGACCTGCTCATCTAATAATCAGTCTGCTCTAATAACATGTTGACAAGACATTTCCATGTTATGTACTTGGTCCTGCTGCTTGCAGGAGAGATAGCCTTTTTAAAAACCAGCATATCTGACTTTTTAAAAATCAGAGTTAAATTTGAGAACTCTTTGTTAGTATTACTTTATTAGTTAGAAGTACTTTATTAATATTATTACTATATTATTGAATAAACTAATAATAAATAGTTATTGCATTGCATTTTCTGTTTCAGGAATTTTTGACCTGGAACTTTTCAGTTTGATGCATCCCTAGTAAATGTTCTTAAAGGTTATCTGTTGGCTGTAGAACATGGGTAAAACTTAGATTTTATTCATTTAAAAAAATCGTAAGATTTTCTTTAGATACTGTGTTGCGTCCACACTGTGTGATTACCTAAATTTACAAAATCAAAATAAGGTAGATTTCATTAAAAAATTTTGCAGTAGAACTTACCAAACATGCAAAACCATTCTATACATGTAAATGCATAATATTCATTTATTTTATTTTGGGCTTAGACACTATTAGTCTGGGCTCGCCACAGCGGAATGAACCGCCTACTTATCCAGTATGTTTCACACATTGGATGTCCTTCCAGCCGCAACCCATCTCTGGAAAACATCCACACACACTCATTCACACTCATACACTACTGACAATTTAGCCTACCCAATTCCCCTGTACCGCATGTCTTTGGGCTTGTGGGGGAAACCGAAGCACTCAGAGGAAACCCACGGGAACACGCAGAGAACATTCAAACTCCACACTGAAATGCCTCTGAGGCGACAGCACTACCTACTGTGCCACTGCGTTGCCCAATGCATAATATGTGATAGTATTTTTACCAATTGACAACTTCTGAATCTTATAAAGTGATGGTGACAGGACAACAGCAGGAAGTGTGTTGCACACAAACAGACTAGTGGCAACATAGCTGCATAGCACGCTTGATCTTTTTTCATGGTTGTATTTGTCCTGTGTCACCAATTAAAATGTTTTGTGTTCATATTTTAATCAAATCGCTTCTGAATTAGGAATTTAACCAAGGCCCATGCTTGTTTTGTGCACACACGCACTAGAGTTTGAATGATCGCATTTATTTTAACAAACTGTTCTAAAAAAGCAATTGCTACAGACAGAGTTAAAAATTCAAAAGCAAACCTATAATTGGAGGCAAAACTTCTTATGAAGCATTCAAATAAAGTGAGAGTTGAAAAAAAGTGAGCAGTACAATATTATGTGTCTTGGCCATAGACTGTAAAAGATATGGACATAGTATCCGTGACGCCACCCATAGGTTTTTTGAAGAACCCAAAAGAAGCTACCAGTAGGCGTGGCCAACCGTCGCTATTTTGTTCGCATCATGGCACCAACCGAGGGATACCAAATAAGGGTAAAGAGGCGGAGCTACAGACGCATGCTGTCATTCTGCTTAGACGGGCTTTTTTATCGGAGAAACGATTAATTCTTCATTACCTGCGACTTGTTTGTGTTCTGACCACATGTGCTTTGTTGTACACTATATCAATAAAGTGTGTAGACTTTTAAAAACACAGTTGTAATACGTTGAGCCACTAAGCATTCTTCTTACGTCGTTCTTCAACAGGAGGAAAACGCGAATTACTTTCAAACACTTCAAATATAGCCTGTGTTAGTAAATGCAAGACTACTAGACCAATGCATTTATAGAGATGGTATATAACTTCACTCACCTGAGGCCCTGTGAATGGTTTGTGAGCACAATTAAGTGCACAGAGCATGCTTTATCATCTGATAGTTGTAAGAAATAATTCCAAAAGGCAACTGACTGTGTAAAGCCAGATAAAACAACACAAAAATACGATGTATATGCTGACATCAGCGGCTAATCTTTCGAAGTCAGCTGAGGTGAAGTGGCAGCGACCAACAAGACTTAGCTGTCACTCAAGTGGCCACGCCCTTAATTATGCAAACTTTAATATAACCTAATATAAAGGAAACGGATGAGTTATAAAAAAAATTCACCCCCTCACAGTTGTCATGAAGGGTAATATTAGATATATGAACCAAAATCGTTCTTTGTACCAGGCTGTAAACACCCTTTTTTCTGTTGTAAAATTGGCCATTCTAACAGTGGGCTCAATTGAAATTTGCTCTTTATGGAACCAGGACTAGCGGAATTGCATTTCAGCTACTTCTGTGTTGGCTTCCCAAGGGAGAGTGGGAGGTTGCCGCTTGTTCTTGGCAGAATACTTGGTTTAAATACAATATTTGATATTGTTTGCAAAGTCCAAAACTAAGCCAAATGTCTCTTTTTGAAGGCCAGATCAGACATTTTTCACCTACGTCTAGCTATTTCAGCACTGCACAGATTAGAGAGGATATTTGCAGATTGTCAAAACCGTCTGAAAGGATTTACCATGTCTTGTCTTAGTCCCCAGCACCAGTTTATTGGACCACCATGACCTTAGGATTAGCAGAAGAGATTTACAGCACCACCTCCAGCACTTCCAGTTTGAATGTTACTTTGAATGTTTGGGAGGGTTGTGATGCTTTCGTATGGGCACTCATGGCCAAAATGACAGATGCACATTTGATATGATGTACATTAGACAGAAAATAAGAATACTAATGGCTCAATAGCAGCTTCCTCTTTTATTATTGTGTTTGTCATGTTTAGTGACTGAGGGCTTTTTAGACTTTAGACCGTCAGGTCAAGGTCAGAATTATTACCAATTCACAATTATCTTCTATCACCAGCTTTTAACTTTCGATTTCTAATGAATTATTCTCTTTCTTTCCCTTGTTTCTACCTAGATGGCAAGTGTATCAAATTGGTGTTAGTTCCTGCTGGTCATCTGTTTTGCTCTGGTCTGGTGTGTCGCTTTGAAGGAAGTCCTCAAGTCTGAAGTGACGACGGTTTGCAGAAGAATTTGGACTACATTTTGTCGTGCTGAGGAGCTGTTCGGAACTCTTCGCCAGCTCCCTACTTGGGGCAGAGACAGCGCCCCAACCCACGCGCCAAAATGGTGCTGTCACAGAGGCAACGAGATGAACTGTGAGTCAGTCTATATTGTCATGCACTCATAACATGCAGCTCAGGAGATCTTTCACTTTAAGATGCTACCAAATGTGAAACTGTCAGATGTAGTTCTGGTAGAGTGTTGCACATGACTGTCCACTTTTATATGTAATATGGAGATAAGCTATTTTTAGTTAATACTTGAGACTTGTGGTTCTTTAGCTTATGTAGGCAATGAGGTAAATGGTAAACTATTTCTTTTATGAACCAGTCTTTTTATTGGTAAAATATAATAAATGACACCGTAAGTTAGGGATGCTCATTTCGGTAAATTTTGCTAACCGACAACCGCGCCTCGTTAATCGGATATTAACGGTTAACTGGTCAGATTAATATTAAATTATTATTAAATAAAAAGAAATAGGAGCTGACATGTCTGTTTTGTGTCTGACACATTAAATATTGCATTTTAAAATACTGATTTATTTTAACATGCGAACATATTAATAACAGAACATAACAACAGTTCATCTTTACGCACCTGCCGTACGTGTTTCCAATAGAAATCCAGAATAAACTAAGGAAAATGAATAAAATAAATATGCCTGGCCTAATTTTTCACTTAAATTGTTTATTTAGATTACAAAACGAAAACACTGACTGGTCTTTTTTAAGAACCGGTATAGGCAGTTTTTTCCCCAATCATATATATATATATATATATATATATATATATATATATATAATTTTTTGTTTTTTTTCCCCCGTCAAATAAGAATAGCCGATTTCCTCAAATCGCTCGCTCCAGGAAAAATATGCATTTTTTTAATGCCCCGCTATTATTATTATAATCACAAAAACAAAACAAAATTTTTTAATATATATCATTATTTTAAAGATTATGTCTTGATATAAGGTTTCCTCTCTCTCTCTCTCTCTCTCTCTCTCTCTCTCTCTCTCTCTCTCCCTCTCTCTCCCCCGTGGTTCAAGTGTGTGTGCTGCGTAATGAAAAGACAATGACAACGCCCGCATATGTTGACTTTTTGTAAACCGTTTTGTTGTTGTTTTTTCCTTTCTAAAAACACCTTTTATGTTGACAAGGAAGACAGAAGTGCGCCGATTATCTTTGCTTGTGAACAAAACCTCTTGCACACCCCTCAAAAACGCTGGTCAAGCGCGGCTTCTGGTACGCTCTCAAATAATCACTGTTGAAATGCGTTTTAGTGCGTTTATGTAGTGAGTATGTCTACAACATTTATTAAATTTGCTAGGAATATTTCTGAATGTCTCCAATAGACTTAGAGCGGCATTAATGCGTCCTGAAGCAAAGTAAAACGGCTATAAACTCCAGCAAGATAAAGTCACTGTATGCAGAACCATAGACCTTTATCTATAAATAAATTAAAATTATGGAAACTGTGTTCATCACAACTGAAAGCTACGTCGGGTTTGCTGGCTTCACGCATCACGCACCTGTCAAAAAAAGCGCATTCGATCGGCCCCTTATGCAGCCAATATAAAACAAATAAAATAACGTTTTTTTAACCGTTTAACTGATAACATTATTCGGTTACAAGCACAACCTTTCGGTTAACGGTTAATCGATTACTTTGAGCTTCCCTACCGTAAGTTTAGCGTATTGAATGTACAAGTTTCCCACCTAAAAAGAAGGGGTTTAACATCTGAATTATACTGCCGCGTTGATTGATTACCATAAGCCATGTTGCTTGCCTTGCACGTAGTCGTGGATTTATACTTCTGCTTTCTGTTTGTGTTGCTCTGACTGTAACAGTAAAGAAATGCAAGATGACAGTGGGATTTCTATCATCGTCTGTGTTGAGTTTCTTTGTAGGCGTTTTGTTAACACCAGAAAAACCTGTAATGCTAATTTAATGTAAAAGTAGCTTAAACTCGCTCATTCAGAGGTGGAAACCAGCAGATGTGCAACAACTTGAATCATAAAGTAAATACAAAACCTTTATTATCTATCTAGAGCTCCTCCACAGGACTCGACACTTGCTAAAGACTTGCGCCAACGAGCTTGTTTGAATCTCAGCCCTCACGCACTCATCAACACCACCAAGCTGACCAATCGATAGTTACATTTTCTGCGTCCAGGTCAGCATCAGCAATGGCGAAGAGTGTGCGACAGCTGTGTCAGACCATCAATGTGTACTCGATGCAGAGTTACGAATCTGCCTTCAGTCACATCACCACCTTAGAATTGAATTGGTTAGTAGCAAAGTCACATTTTATTATTACATTCGCATATTAAAAAAGTTTTTCCACCAGTCATTTGAATTGAACCATATTCAGAACTTGAATTTTAAAGTATTTACCTATTTATCAAACCTTTTAGTTAACCGTGACTAAAAGTTGTAGCATGTGGATAATGCACTTACTTCTATCACAAATCTGCCATTTGGCAATTGGCTCTTTTAATGCACATAATTAAATTTTACCATAATTTTCATAGAACTTAGAAGCTCAGTTTCAGATAGGAACCCAAGACTTGTGATTAGGACTGTATATTTGCAGTGACTGGACCAACAAGCAATTTAGGCGTTTTTTCAGCACCATTTAAGTTTAAAGAGCAATGTTTGAGGCAGTAATTTTTAGATTTAATTGCTGATTTACAGTGGTATTTAAAGGTTGGTTGGTTGTGTAAATTTTTGTTTTTTTATTATTCTTGCATGTACAAAATAGAATTTGCAGAGCATTGCAAAATGGTCACAGAGAGAACCGATTTACCTGGTAGAGGGGTTTAAAATTCCATTGAGACCTGTATTCCAGAAAAAATACAACACATGACACTAAAATACTTGAATATCAAAACGCATTCAAATAAAGTCACTGCAACCAGTGAAACCTGATATCAAGTGCGGTTCAGTGCGCTAGCAGAGAACGCTTTTCCCTGCGGCTTGGAGCTTCCTGCGACAGCTATTTAACTTTAATATTTCATAAAGCCTCATGACTGTGGAGTGGAGGAGGGGTTCATAATTGAGTGAATATACTTGAGCGTTCTTCATACTTCACCAAGCGCCAGGGGTCTCTGGATATCTTTGGATCCACTGTAAACCTGCAAATTTCATTGAAAACGTTCATTGAGCGTCTTGTTTGGATTTAGTTAGATTTCTGGCTTGTCTGCCAGTTCAGAAAAGCTGAAGAGAATAGACACTGCCAGCTCCCCTGAAACAGCCATTTGGCGAGTTTAATTTGAAGGCAGTATTAACATAGATGGCTAGGTAGTCTCTTGTAGAGCGATATTAATAGTGACAAACCCCCACCCAGCAGTAGCTCATTATCAATTAAAGCAATGGTTCTCCATTCCAGCCCTCTCTTCATATTCTGCATGTCTCTGTTATTTATTTTACACCTGATTTAAATGACCAGCTCGTTAGAAGAGCATGAACTGTGTTCTGATTGACACAGATCTACACACTAGCTGCGTCCCAAATTGTATACTTATGCACTATTCTACGCCATTTTGTAGTATAAATAGTGTAAGTAGTGTGTTCACACTGAAAACTCTAAAAATATTAAGTGCACTTTAATTACTTGGATGATGCACTCATTCAGCTGCTAAAATGAAGTGTGTAATGATGGACACTTCACGCACTCAACGACCGCAGTTTTGCTTGCGTAGCGGAAGGGGCGGAGCTATCGGACGCACATGTTGGATAACTTCATTTATTTTAGATGGTGAAAGCAAAATTCTCCTACGAAAGTGATTATAGCGCCTCCCGACGGTGAATGCGGTTATACTCACAGCAGGTATTATTTGATAATTTGGTCGTTTATTTCACTGATTTGCTTACTTACTCGCATAACATGAAAAAAACTGTCATATTTCCTTCTCTGAAAGGCCCGCCCTCAAGAGGCTCTGATTGGTCAGCTAACATAATGTGCTGTGATTCGCGGCTTTGTTCCACGTCGCCAGAAAAAACGTCAGGGTTACCGGAAATGCAGGGTCATGCGTGAAGTTTCGCAGGTTGCTGCAGTGCACAGTTCAAGCTTGGTGAACTGACCTGCGAAATCGCATCACTAGACTGCATGAGACTAATCGAGGCTCAAAACATGACCTCTCTAGACAGAAATTTAAAATATGGAGCAATCGCATGCTTTTTAAATGTCTAATCATATTGTTTAATCCCGCCCCCTTTCGCAGAGCCGTATGACAGAATTTTGCAAACTCAAACTCTGGTGTGACCGCGGCTTTAATCAGAAGAAACAATGAAGAGCACACAGCTCACACCTGAACCTCATTCATTTCATTCATGCCCCCATGACAAACTGGGGTATTAGACGCAAATAAGGTGGAAGGACTGGTGAGAGTGTTATGGAATTTAATAATGCACGCCAAATGGAAAGCAATACAACCTCTGCATTTACTGACAGCCGCGTGTGTGGATTTTGTTGGAAAAGGTGGCGAAAAATCCTACATGACTGTAATAGTTTGATTGCTGTGTTTACTTCAATAATGCCACTAATATATTCATTCTCCACATGTCCTAATTCCATAGAGTTTAGTTCAGTTATGACTTGACAGATTAAGGTAATCAAAATTCTTTATGCCTTCAGCAGAATATAAATGAGCCATTTTTAAGATTAATCTCAAGATTACAGTGAGATTTAAAATAATTATGTATGCCCACCTATAGTTTATTGTTATTATTATTAGAGTATTCAGATTTACAGTGGTGCTCATCACCTCGCCAAATGCTTGAAGACTTAATTGGTTAATAACATGAACATTTTCACATGTTTATCTGGCATAGTAGATGCTGAAATACTGATTGAAAATTCAGTAACTATATAGGATAGCAGTAAAGCTCTAACATTACTAATTTAACTGAACTCATGATGAAAAGCTTTTATTAATCTTATAAGTTAATGCCTAATAACTGCCTAATCACGTTAAAATCATAGTCTCTATTTGATTACAAATCGTCATAATTCAATTAAATATTGTTAATAACTAATAAAATGTAGGTGCACTTTTAGCTAAAATTAACATTATACCGTTTTATTTATTTATTTTTTTTTTTTTTTCTCCAATAGAGGTGCTCCGCAATAAACAAGGCACTTTATACTTTGCTCTCACTGAACATTGAGACAGTCCCCTTTTTCATTTTTTTCCGATGCGATGAAAATAATGAGAATACTTCTATCACAGATATGTAAGGCTCTGGCCTGCAATTTTAGGTTGTCTAATCCAGCTGCATTCTCTTAAGTGTGTGATTTTAATGTGACTGTTCATTTTAATTCAGCAATTAATTCTTTAAAAGCTAATCAGCTTAACTGAAAAGTAACTCATTACATTAAAAAAAAAAATAACTCAAATATTATAGTTTTTTTTTAAAGTAATGTGTTACTTGACTCTACTTAAATTACGTGTCTTATGTTGCTTGTAATCTGTTAACCCCAACACTGATTCTGACCCTAATCAAACTTCCGCTAGACTCGCACAGGGTGTTGGCATCAGAGCTGGCGTGATCGTCATGGCAACAGCCAATGTTTGACTGCCATACCACAAAAAGGCAGCTTAACAGCTAGTCATTGATAAACAGACACAACATGTCTAGCACTGTGCCAAATCCCTTATGTGCCCCTGAGAAACAATTACCCTCTGAATAGGACTTAAGTGTCAGATCTGCCACTGCTCATGCTTTTAATGTGGAAGCTGTAATTTATTGACATGGCCGTTGAGAAATACAAACTGTTTGCATTGTAGCAGTGGCTAAGTAGATAATAGAAGATTGTATACCTGAATTGGGTGAGCATGAATGCCAACTTGTCTCTTGTTGCTAAAACTGGAATTGGAGAAAGAATTGTTCTTATAATTGAAAAACAATTAAGAAACATGGGTCAACAAATGGCTGTTTTCCACTCCTTTTTCATCCGAAAAGTCGCCATTACTAAATCAAGGTTCAAAAGTGCTGACATCACTACCTAAATTTAGCCCATTGGTCAGCTCATGCAATATTCACCATCATCTGAAGGGTGAAAGACTCATTTGCGTAATCAAGCACAGGAAGAAAAGGAGAGGCCGCGTGTGTTGTGAGACGGAGAGAAAGTGCTCGGTCCTCCATTTTGGCGTTTCCTGCTGTGTCATTTGAGACCTTTTCCATCCTCAGTAGCAGGTGTCCATGACAACCAGGGTACTCTGTGTTTTGGTTACTTCCCTGCTCCTTTGTCTTTCTTATTTGTTCTTCTCTTTCAGGGCTCGAAATGAACCTTTTTGCTTAGTAGCACCGGTGCTCCTAACTTTAAAAATTTAGGCGCATCAGCCAAAATTTAGTCGCACTTAAAAGCACCATTACTACAAGTTTTATACAAACATATTTATTGCATTTTAAATCAACACTAATCAAACTAACAAGCAATATATATATATATATATATATGTGTGTGTGTGTATGTATGCATGTGTGTGTGTGTGTGTATATATATATATATATATATATATATATATCCACTCTTCATGAAACAACGCCATTGGCTGTATTTTAAAAAGGGGAGGAGCTAGGCTTCCTAGCTTCATGTTTCGGTTGAGATTACATCAGACATCGAATAAAAATGCACATTTCGAAGCACTTCACGAGACCTTTAATCTGCAAAACTGGAACATCACAATAACTGAAACATTTGTGAATGAAGCACTGCTTCCATTCAGTGAGACAAAGAGAACAAAATAGTCTCTTCCTTATAAACTGATGCCAAATGTCCAAAACAAAAATGTAATTTGCTTTAGTAGAAGACACTGAGGGCCTTTTTTTCCAATTTGATGATGCACTGTGATGATAGAAATAGGTGGAGGAAAAGCAAACATAGCTTCTGTCACTCTCCCAAAACTCTGCAGTCTGCAAGTATTAGATGAGTCACTTTGTCCCTAACTAAATTCGCATGGATCTGTAGTTCTATGGCCTGCTGCATATTGACTTCATCTCTGTGTCAAAGCTAATATGATCAATCTATTTCTATCATGGGTCATTTACTGTAGATGCATTCAATCTGAATTGATTTGGGTGGTGATCACATGGTGATGCAGTTACCGAAAGTCTAGAACATTTTATTATGGCTTAACTCCTATTACTATATATCTCTTTGTCTAATAAAATCACATCTTTTGTCTTTCAGAAATCGAGCTATAGCTGATTATTTGCGCTCCAATGGCTATGAAGAGGCATATTCCACTTTTAAGAAGGAGGCAGAGTTGGATGTGGTAATGACACATTAACACTATTTTTTTAACCATCATAATGCATTCAGGTCCATTTTGACTGGAAAGCTTGGGGAACCAAACCTTGAAATACACAAGCATTGTAAAACATGTTTGATTCTAGATGTCAGACCACTGAAAAATTTTACATGTATACTTTTAAAGAGTAAACATGGTAACTTTCAAAGCTTTTTTTTTTACACCTTATTCACTCAAACAGCAGTGCTGATAAGATGCAGGTCTTTTGGAAAATTAAGTTAAAAAAATTCAATGCAAAAAAGGTTTTGATGGCATTATTCATACAGAAAATAAATACTAATGGATTGTTTGTAGGATAAATTCTCATTCTTGTATTACTATTATTTTTGTTTATTATTTTTCAGAATGATGAGTTGGATAAGAAGTTTGCAGGACTTTTGGAAAAGAAATGGACTTCGGTTATCAGATTACAAAAAAAGGTCAGTACAAGGATTTTATTATACAAATATATTTATATCCCTTTAAACCAGGGGTCTCAAACAGTTGACCCACGAACCAATTGTGCCCCCTCCTCCTCTTCCCTCCGGGCCGCAACTGATATGAAAAATATAACGAGATTCTGATTATAGTCAGTTTTATACCACCTGTGTTTTGTTGTGCAAACATCTCTTCTTGGCTTACATGTTATGATAATGGTGTAAATATGATAAATGTGCTAATATTTGATTCAAATTGTCTCATTTATAGATTTTTCTATTATGCATAGGGGTGTCACAATTTCGATTTTTAATCGAAATCGATCGAAATTTATGCTCAATTTCGATTATCGAATCAAAAAATAGAATCGTCGATGCTGCCACGCCCCCATGGCTTGCCAAGCGGGAAAAAACAGGCTTGTTGAAGTGCTTGTTAAACTGCAGAAGCAGGAGACCCGTCGACAGAACTTAAACCCTCTCCTCTTTCAATGAAGTTGCCGGTGTTTAAGCATTTTGGATTTCCAGTGAGTTATGTTGACAACGTTCGTGTTGTCGACAAAAAAAACACAGTTTTGCAAGCTCTGCTATGTACGTATTACGTACGGTTCGTCCGATAGACAACACCGGCATCGCGATCCTCCGCCCGCCCCCGTTGCAAATCCGCTCGCGAAAAGTACACACTCAGGCCCTGTTTACACTGTCTTTGTTTTTAAATGGCATTTTAGAACGACAACAATTTGACATCCACAGTGGCGTGTAGCATTTCTGAGCAGCCCTCCTTCCTCTCTTCCTCTGAAAATGCACATCACGTGACCACACAGACACAGACGCACACACAGCCATGCACTCCAGACAGCGGGTTCAGGCAGTCAGAGGATCAGTAGACTGCTTCAATCTTTCACTCACTTGTACTTAGTCATTTTAGCGAACACCTCAGATACTGTTGGCTGGTTCCTGTTGGTTGTGCGTCTTTTTTACCGACGCCATTATAACGACACAGATCACTGCCTGTTCACAAGTCCCACAGAAAAAGTGATTGACAGGTGGTAATTATGTGTGTATCTTGCCTTTATTCATTTACTGTATGATTTGTTTATGGGTAAAACTAAGACCATGCAGGTCAGGTAGTTTAAATGGTAGGCTACAAATAATTAATTGGTCATTAATTAATTATTCATAATCGAAAATCGAATCGAATCATGCCTTTAGAATCGAAAATGTAATCGAATCGAGGATTTGGAGGATCGTGACACCCTTAATTATGCATGTTATTGGCCCGTTTTCACCAAAAGGTACGGTTCGGTTTGGTACGCTTTTATGGCCATTTCCACTGTCAAAGGGTACCTAAAAGCGAACCGTACCGTACCACTTTTTGGTTAGCCTTTGGAAAGGGTACTTAGCATGAAAAAAAGGGTACCAAAAGGCTGAGCAAGACGCGCAGCTGAATGCTATTGGTTTACAGAGATACGTCACTCGCAGAACCAGGAGAATGAAAACAAAGGAAGCGCCATTTTTAAATGCCGAGACATTACACCGTAATAATATATACATACACGTATTCAAACAAACCTTGTTGTCGTCTTGATGAACAGCCACAAAGCCAAAGACAAAATCTGCTGTGTCCTGTTGTTGTTTTACGAGCCTGTCTAAAAGTGCGAGTGGTTCCACTTTCTCCAGTCATTGATCTGCAGTTTTAATCAAACCATGTTCAAAAGGTTAGTAATGAACATTTATACGCAGGTATTTGTGTATAAAGCATCTGTTTAGTGAGAACTGCTTCTTATATGATGTGTGAAGAACTTATTTTGTGGGACATGATAATTATTATTATTCTGCCTATTATTAAATCATAGTGTTTCCATAGCAAGAAACAAAAAGGAGCTTTGATACTCCTGATGGGGAAGAATGTTGAGAGTGCATTAATGACATCAGATTTCCACTTTTTTTGTGTGCTTGAATGTTAAAATGGCCCTCCTATGAATTGTCAGTCGCTGATATGGCCCACCGCCAATTTGAGTTAGAGACCCCTGCTTTAAACGGACCAAAATAAATCAAATCAAACTTTCTGGAAGTAACCCCTATTTGTTTTTTCATATATTTTGTTAGGTAATGGAGTTGGAGTCTAAACTAAATGAAGCTAAGGAGGAGATCACTTTAGGAGGCCCCGTGGGGCAGAAACGAGACCCCAAAGAGTGGATCCCACGCCCACCTGAGAAGTACGCCCTCAGCGGACACAGAAGCCCTGTCACACGCGTCATCTTCCACCCTGTGTTCAGCCTTATGGTCTCCGCCTCAGAGGACGCCACTATAAAGGTGTTGTTTCCTTCTGTGTTTTTATAGGCTGTGAAAGGATGTGTGCATATGCTGTGTGGATGATGGTGTTGGGCCACGTTTCAGTCTTTCAATTCATCTGCAGTCATTATTTTCTGCTGAGTCACTCACTGTCTCCATGGAGATATGGTGATGCTCTGGTTTCCCAGGGCAACAGAGCAGAAAGTGGTACTCTGGACACCAGGCAGTGCAGTTAAAAGCTTTCTCATCCTGCATTTCTTTATGAGCTTCTCTGTGCTATTTCTGCGAGATGACCACAATTAATATCACAGCAAGAGTGCTTGATAAATACAATTGAAGTCAGAATTATTAGCCCCCCTGAATTATTAGCACCCCTGTTTATTTTTTTTCCCCCAATTTCAATTTCCGGTGAGGATTTTTTTCAGCACATTTCTAAACAGAATAGTTTGAATTACTCATTTCTAGTAACTGATTTATTTTATCTTTGTCGTGATGACAGTAAATTATATTTTACTAGATGTTTTTAAGACACTTCTATACAGTTTAAAGGCACATTTAAAGGCTTAACTAGGTTAATTAGATTAACTAGATTAGATTCAACTTTATTGTCATTACACATGTACAAGTACAAGGCAACGAAATGCAGTTTAGGTCTAACCAGCAGTGCAATAGCAGCAAGTGCAGGATACAGATATAAGTTATAGAGTGCAGTTATAGAAAAACTATGGGGATATTTACAGATGGATGTACTATGAACATAACACTAAAATAAACAATCATTCTGGTAAATAGAATAGTATTTATTAGAATTTGCTATGAGCTTTGTCCACAATTGCATTGGTGTTTTACTCAAGCTACAGAAGCTGTTTTTGAAAGTAAGCAGTATTATTTAAATGTTTCTGTGTCGTTGTGCAGGTGTGGGACTATGAGGCTGGTGATTTTGAGCGAACCCTGAAGGGTCACACTGACTCGGTGCAGGACATCTCCTTTGACCAGACTGGAAAGCTGCTGGCTTCTTGCTCCGCTGACATGACCATCAAACTCTGGGATTTCCAGGGCTTTGAGTGCATCAGGACCATGCACGGTACGCATTTTCGACAACATTATTAACATTCATTAAATCTACTTTGGAGAAGAATTGGCCTTTGACCCAGAATTGGCTGTAGCCACCTCCAATATAGGCTTAAAGCTTACTGGGATCCTTATTAGTGCACTGGACAATCCTGTCTCTGGATTCTCAGTCAGGACCTGTCGCTCTGGGGGAGGGTAAAGGTTTGTTTGGGGCAGGATTAAGCAGCCTGCCAGCTTTATCTCTCAAATCACAAAGGTGCTGCTTGTAATCATATCTCAAAAGTCCCGTCCTTTGTCAGCCAGTAACTAACAGGAGACCCTTAGTTTTTAGTTTTTCATTGAATGGTTTTGCTATAGGAGCTGTTTATACCTGATATTAACATGCATTTTCAGTGATCTGATCCCCATTTTCACTTTGTGTTCAAATACGTCTGTCGTGACCACTTATGTTTGGATTCACTCTTATTACGTCATGCTTTACATCACTTACATTACAAGGCTTAGTGCAATGTGCGATTAATATTGAATGAACAAACTTGACTTACATGACTTGCGAGCAAAGCTGGAAAGCAAGTGAATCAAAATGATGCAGATGGCAGCTATAATCATTTAGTGTTATGTGTGAAGTATGACTACCTTGTTTTGGTGCACTTTCTCACTGCATGCCTCATCAGATGTTAGATTGACAAATAGATGGAGTGTAATTTCTGTTTGCATTAAGTGCACTGGTCTAATGCGTTTTCAAATACCTCCTGGCAGTGGTTGCAAATGAACAAGCTCAAAGCATTTCTAGTCTCTTTTACACCTTCATGTATTGCTGTCAACTTGTGGTTGGATTGATAAGAATGCTGGTTCAGAAGAATATAAGGATGTGAGTTTCAGCAGGTCATGAAACTTAAAAAAAAAAAAAAAAAAAAAAGTCATACAATAGTCAGGCATAGTTTGCACAGCTCATACTTGATCTTTAGTGGGTCACTTTTGTGATTTAGTATGAATATTTTCATACTGTCAAATGGTTAATCGCATCCAAGATAAAAGTTTGTATTTACATAATATATACAGTCAGGTCCATAAATATTGGGACCTTAACACAATTCTAACGTTTTGGCTCTATACACCAACACAGTAGATTTGAAATGAAGCAAACAAGATGCAATTTAACTGCAGAGTGTCAGCTTTAATTTGAGGGTATTTACATCCAAATCAGGTGAACGCTGTAGGAATTACAACAGTTTGCATACGTGCTTCCCTCTTGTTAAGGGACCAAAAGTAACTGGTAAGAATAATAATCATAGATCAAACTTTCACTTTTAAACACTTGGTTGCAAATCTTGCAATAACAGCCTGAAGTCTGGAACGCATAGACATCACCAGACGCTGAGTTTCATTCCTGATGATGCTCTGCCAGGCCTCTGCACTAACCGTCTTCATTTCTTGCTTGTTCTTGAGGCATTTTCCCTTCAGTTTTGTCTTCAGCAAGTGAAATGCTTGCTCAATCGGATTCAGGTCTGGCGATTGACTTGGCAACATTAACATTCCACTTCTTTCCCTTTAGAAACTCTTTGGTCGCTTTTGCAATATGCTTTGTGTCATTCTCCATCTGCTCAGTGTAGGGTCGTCCAATGAGTTCTGAAGCATTTGGCTTAATATGAGCAGATATTACTGCCTGAAACACTTCAGATTTCAACCTGCTGCTCTTGTTAGCGGTCACATCATCGATAAATACAAGAGAACCAGTTCCATTGGCAGGCAAACTTGCCCACACCATGACACTACTACCCCCATGCTTCACTGCTTAGGATCATGACCAGTTACTTTACATCCCCATATTCTTCCCATCACTCTGGTATAATATTTTGAGGGTCTGCAATGGTTTACATCGTGTCGTGAACCCTCTGTATTCACTCTGGTGAAGTCATCTCTTGATTGTTTACTTTGACACGCATATACCTACCTTCTGGAGAGTGTTCTTGATCTACACCAACTGTTGTGAAGGGTGTTTTCTTCACCAGGGAAAGAATTCTTTAGTCGTCCACCACAGTTGTTTTCCATAGTCTTTCAGGTCTTTTGGTGTTGTTAAGTTCACTGGTGCATTCTTTCTTTTTAAGAACGTTCCAAACAGTTGTGTTGGCCACACCTAATGTTTTTGCTGTCTCTCTTATTGTGTTTTTAGCCTAATGATGGCTTGCTTCACTGATAGTGACCGCTTTTTGGATCTCGTCTTGAGAGTTGACGGCAACAGATTCCAAATGCAAATAGCACACTTGAAATTAACTCTGGAACGTTTATCTGCTCATTGTAATTGAGATGATGAGGGAATAACACACATCTGGCCATGGAACAGCTGTGAAGCCAATTGTCCCTGTTCTGCCCTCACTCCGGCGTCTCTCTTGTCAAAGTTAGACAGACAGATAAACTCTTTCCGACACGTGAGATTTTGGGAGAATGCTGCTTTATTCCATGCCACATTGAGTATGTTGAAACAGAGTGAAACTATGTAAAAAGATGTACATAAAATGAGCTATAGTTTTCTATGTACATAGCAATAATATCTGAGATAGAATATAAATACAAACAGATAATAAACTGTTGGGTGTTCTTTTTAAATAAGGCAATTAACTGATTCTAACTGTTAGAATGTTTCTATGGCAACAACAATTTAAAAGAAGCTAAATGACTAGGCATTAACTTATGGATTCTAAATACGAATATTTAGTAGATGATCCAGCACAGTCCCATTACTTTTGGTCCCTTAACAAGTGGGAGGCAAATATGTCAAATTATATCAAATTAAAGCTGACAGTCTGCAGTTAAAGCACACATTGTTACTTTCATTTTAAACGCACTGTGTTGGTGTAGAGAGACAAAAATGTTATTATTGTGTTGATGCCCCAATATTTTTGGACCTGACTGTACATGTGTACTGCGTATGTATTTTCTATAAACACACATTCTGTAAATAAAATGCAAAAATATATTTATATAATATTTCTGTATGATTTATATTATCTGTAAATATTTATCTATAAATATAAACAAGTCATTCATGCATATATATATATATATATATATATATATATATATATATATATATATATATATATATATATATATATATATATATATATATATATATATATATATATATATATATATATATATATATATATATATATATATATTAGGGATGTAACGGTATTGTAAATACCGTCATACCGCAATATTAATTTTTTTCGATATTACCGAAGTCGCATGACTCGGTAAAACTATAGGTCTTCTGAGAAAATTTGCTCAGGCGAATGAAGCGGACGGGAGGTAGCTTAAACTACATTTCCCATCAGCCCAGGCGTGGCCATAATCCTTTGCGGTCTGTTGTCGCTACAGATCCAGTAATGCGGAAATGGAGTGTGCTGCTAGTAGCGGAGATGAAAAAAAGATGGAAATGATTGAACCTAAAGCGGGTGTTGTCGCCGCGCGCGTACTGAATAGCAGTGTTGTCGCGCGCGTTCTGATCAGCTGTGTTGTTGCGCGCGTATTGTAAAGCGCCGAGGGGGGGTTGAGCGCGCATACTCAAGAGCAGTGTTGTCTACTGAAGGGCTGGACGGAGGTTGTGTCGCGTCGCGGGGGCACTTTTGATCGTTTTGGAAGGGCACTTTCTATCCAAGACTAAAAAGGGCATGTGCACTGCACATGTTGAGCCCTATGTGTGCACGTGCCTGCAAGTTGGGGAATACGACTAATAGCAGTCATGGGGACTGCAGAAACACAGCACACTGTTCAGATTGATGCAGACATGAGATATCTATCTCACTCATGGTTTGTCTTCTCAAGTGGGGGAAAGACAATGCACAACGTTACCCCACTGCTGTCAACATGGGCCAAGTCATATCTCTGTCCCAGAATCCTCAGTCCCAAATGAGAGGTTTTTTTTCTGTTGCAGGGGACATTGTAAATACCCAGAGATACCAGCTTTTACCAGATTATATTTATATGATAATTTTCCTTTAAACCCATCTCTATCTAAGTGAGTGAGTGATTAAATGTTGAATGTGATGAGTTTTCAACAATACTAAATTGAAACTTTATTTTTTTTACATGGTTTAATTTATAATAATTAATAATTTTTTGTTATTAAAATTGAAGTTCCTGTTTCAAAGCTTACAGATAGATGGCTAATTTGTATGTCATTGACACTTTTGGCACTTTTTTGGAGTATTTTCAAAAGTTTTGTTTTTCCTGTAAATGATTCAATAAATAACGTACCGTGACATTCATACCGAGGTATTACCGTACCGTGAAATTCTGATACCGTTACATCCCTAATATATATATATATATATATATATATATATATATATATATATATATATATATATATATATATATATATATATATATATATATATATACAAAAACACACACACAAAAACGTGTAGTATGCACAAATCTATTTTGTAAATATGAACTTTTATTTTCAATCATGATTTTTAATCCCGATTAACTGTTTGACAACAGACCACCTCTTCAGCTGGGCCTTGGTATGTTTGTTAGTGTGACTGCTGTGTTCACACCTGCCCAATAGATCCACACCATAGGAGGAAAATTAACCTGAGTTTAATTCAATCAAACCAAACAAGACAGCTGTCAATAATACACCCTCTCCCTCTCAAACATATTACGGATAAACTTCCGACCTCCAAAAACAGTGCTCATGTTACCCATATGAACGGAAATCTGATGTGACGCAAGCACCCAAACATGCTTGTAAAATGTGAGAAGTGTGACTGCATGCTTATTTCTTATTCATTCTTTTCATAACAGGACACGATCACAATGTGTCGTCAGTTGCCATCATGCCTAACGGTGACCACATAGTGTCTGCTTCCAGGGATAAGACGATGAAGATGTGGGAAGTGGCCACTGGGTGAGTAACACTGGCCAAATAATTCCTTTCAACAAGCTCTGAATGTTTGCATTTGTAAAGAAAGCAGACAAACAGTCCAAAGCAAAACAAATTGATGTGTGAATGTATAATGATCGTCTCCGTCTTGCCTCAGTTACTGCGTGAAGACGTTCACAGGTCACAGAGAGTGGGTTCGTATGGTCCGGCCCAATCAAGACGGCACGCTGTTGGCCAGCTGCTCCAATGACCAGACGGTGCGCGTGTGGGTCGTGGCCACCAAAGAGTGCAAGGCGGAGCTGAGGGAGCACGAGCATGTGGTGGAGTGTATCTCCTGGGCCCCTGAGAGCGCACATCCTACTATATCCGAGGCCACAGGCTCTGAGGTACATTTACAGGATGATTTTTGTCTCCTCCCATCATTCCCAGTTGTTCAATACCTTCTTGTGTTGCAGAACAAGAAGAGTGGAAAGCCTGGGCCATTCCTGTTATCTGGATCCAGAGACAAGACCATTAAAATGTGGGACATCAGTACTGGCATGTGCCTTATGACACTGGTGAGTGGAGCTGTACTTCTCCCACCTGCATTGTATTATATACAGTAGGGCTGCTCGATTATGGGAAAAACCATAATCACGATTATTTTGGTCATAATTGTAATCACGATCATTCAAAACGAGTATTAGTTGAAGTTAAAATTATTCGTCCTCCTGTAAATTTATTTTTATATATAAATATTTCCCAAATGATGTGTAACCGAGGTTTTTTTTTTTTTACAGTATTTTCTATATTATTTTTATTCTTCTGGAGAAAGGCTTATTTGTTTTATTTCAGCTAGAATAAAAGCAGGTTTGAATATTTTTAAACCTATTTTAATAGCTCGATATTATTACCCCCTTTAAGCAATATAAATGTTTGATTGTGTGCAGAAGAAACTACTGTTATACAGTGACCTATCTGTTTACCCAAATTAAACCTTTGAATGTCACTGAATACTAGTATCTTGAAGAATATCTAGTAAAATATAATGTGCTGTCATCATAGCAAAGATAAAAGAAGTCAGTTTTTAGAAATGAGTTATTAAATCTGTTGTTTAAACTGTGCTTAAAGCATCTTCACTGTATTTTTGATTTTATTATTGATTAATAATAAAACAGTCGGCAGCAGCAGGAATACCGCACGCTGTCACTTTAAGAATAGTTCAGCTCTGATATGGTTTCTCTTTCTCGTGTCTTTTGATTCTCAACTTGTTAGTTTATTACACAAATGGGGGTTAATATGAATAATCAATAAACACCGCACTCTGACACAAATGTGCATATATTTGACCATTAAAGCGCTCACATTAAGACCGTGTTCACAACAGCACGTGCTCTTTTGTGCTTTTAAAATTATGGTTGATGCGCATCCCGTGCTACAAAAGTTACATTACAGCACATGCCTTTAGTCATTTTCACATGCAACTGAGCTTTGCAGAGGCAAAGAGTTTTCACACGTGTATAACTGGAAAGGGGGCGGTACGTGATGGAATAATCGTTTATCTCGATTAATGGTTTTTCATAATCGTTAAAAGCCAAAATCGAAATCGGATTTTCGATTAATTGCACAGCCCTAATAGTCACACTATTCAGAAAGAATTCTGATAAACTGTTTTCTGCCCATTACATTTTTTACATTAAGTGGAATTATTAAGGAAGCACATAAATCATCAACATTACTTTTTTTTTTTTAAGTCGACCTGTTGAGCTATTTTAGTGCATAAATTGTAATTGTTAAATCAATTTTAAGTCATATTTGATAAGTTAAAAGTTTCCTTGTATGCGTAAATCAACTTTCTATCTCAAAATTAGGACTGTCCATTTCTACTTCTCATTTAGTTAGTGTCCAGTGATGGTGGCATTAGTGGAAAAAATAATTTGTGAATTCTAAAAAAAAAAAAAACTTGATGGCTTTAAAAATATATATATATTTCTGATGTCTTTTTCTTAATCAGGACATTGGCTCCCATACATCATTCAGCGACCGTTTAAACAGTAGTGTGTTAGATTGTTACATTGTTATTATGCTGCTAAGTTCATTTTTAAATTTTTAGTTTTGTTTACAATTAAATTCAGTTAGATGATTAGTTAAAGAGGAGACAAATATAGCCTGATTATGATATTAATGATAAACATCTGTTTAAAAATCTTTAAAGTGCTCATCACAACTGATAATGGCAGAGAAGTGCTTTCTTGGATTTGTGTTTAGGATTTTTTTTTTCTTCAGCCAATAAATATATAAAAAATGGCATCCAATCAAAATTAACAGAACAATTATATCCTTTGGTATGGAGGATAATAAAATTACAGTTTTTTTTTATTAATGAATATAGTGATTATTTTAACTAGGGGTTGCACAGACTAGTCTACTGGTCAACTTTAATACTCTGCTGTGATACTTTTTTGCTGTGATCCCGTAGTTCCTGAACTACACGGCATTTTTACACAGTTAGGTGGTTCACTGAATGAAACTGCTCTCTGATTATTGAAATTCATTTTTAAAATGAATGAATGTATGAAATAATCTCACTCGAGCCAGATTCTAGCCCGTTTGAATGCAACCTTGGGAAAGTAATGTGTTTGCATGTTGTCCTCATCGAAACACCTTGACATGAATTGGTGTGCTAAGGGCATAACTTCTGCACTAAAATATCTGTTATTGTTACATTCTTAGTAGTACTTGCAGTGATCAATGTGTTGACTGCATTGATTTAACAGTAAAATTAGCCCGGTTGCTAATGTTGCATTATAAACTAAATTAAATTGTTGGCAATTTGTTTTGCACTAAAATTAGTCATTGGTAATGTTGCACTGTTTTGCAGTGTGTTGTGAGCTGTCAAACAGCATGTGTACATATTTCCTGCAAGTAAATCGCAATTTGTGGTGTGTGGCAAAACATTCGCATCTTGTGTTATTTTTGACGACATCACCAGTGACTAGTGGACAGTGACTCAACTTTGCAAACATAACTAAATCTAAAATCGTTCAACCCCTAGTTCTAGCAGACGGTCAACGTAACATCTAATTGCTTTATATTTAGTACCAGCACAATATGTTTTATGTTGCATTTGAACCTTATAAACTGGCTGATTGGAGTACATTTCATTCATCTTTTTCTTCTCTGGGCTCTCAGGTTGGCCATGATAACTGGGTGCGTGGAGTGCTGTTTCATCCGGGCGGGAGGTTTGTGGTGAGCTGTGCTGATGACAAGACCCTTCGTATCTGGGACTATAAGAACAAGCGCTGCATGAAGACCCTCAGTGCCCATGAACACTTTGTTACCTCTTTGGGTAAGACAGCGATAGCAGATTTTCCTCTGATGACTCCTCTTATTGAAACTTTGAACAATAGGCTACTCTTGCACTTCATCCATTATTTTGGGCATCTCATCTTCCCATTCTGCAAAGTCCACTCTGCTTTTTCGCTGATCCACTGCCATGTCCCACTACATCCACCCGCAACCGACCCACAATTAATCATAATGTATTTCTTTATTACCCGCAGCGCCCGCGGATCACTAATCTAGAAAGTTGTAAACCTATGTGTTGAGATAGCTGCCTTTCTAACCTCATTGACAAACAGGAGGGTAGGGTACAAATGGTGACACAAGGGTAAAAACAGACACCAATAAAATTCAAACAACATGGTGTAAATAACATGAGGATGAACAATATCAACAAACCGGGATATCAAAACTATTGATAATACTAGCAAAAGCACAATTGCAAACCATCAAAGCCAGCCAAAAGACTAGCTGCATGTATGTGTGAATGTATGTAGTGTCGTCCCAAATGGAACACTAATGTTTTATTTTTCTTTTAACCATTTCCCAGATAATGTTTGACGGTTGCCAAATTAGTGAAATAAATGACCAAACTACTAAATAATACATGCCATAAGTATAACCGCATTCACCATTAGGAGGCACTATAATCACTCTTGTAGGAAAATACAGCTTTCACTATCAAAAATAAAGTAATCCAACATGAGCGCCTGAGTGCTTCGCCCCTTCCACTACATGAGCAAAGCAGCTATCGTTGAGTGTGTGAAGTGTCCTCCAATATTACACACTTAATTTTACCGACTGAATAAGTGAATCATCCCGAGTATTTAAAGTGCACTTATTATTTTTGGAGTTTTCAGTATGAATGCACTACTTCCATTATTTATACTACAAAATGCCGTAGAATAGTGTTAAGTATGTGATTTGGGAAGCACCATTTGTATGAAAATCTAATTCAACTTCACCTTTCTTCCACAGATTTCCACAAGACTTCTCCTTACGTGGTAACAGGAAGTGTAGATCAAACGGTCAAAGTGTGGGAATGTCGCTGATCGCCACAGGATCCGCCCCTTCCCTTCGGCCAATCCCACGCCTGCTCTTCAGGACGCACTCATTCCCACCTCATCCAGCTCTCTTCTAATAACTATTGTCCTTTTATGTAAATTACTCTGGATGTAGTTTGAGCTTATTAAATGTTACACAAGACACTCACAAGGAGAAAAAAAAGAAACGAGTAAATAAGTATTCTTGCATGGTGAATCTGAAAACTTGTATACTGTAAAAAATAATTTTTTTTTTTTGCTTCTCGTCATCTAAAAGTACGGTAGAGAAGCAGAGCACAGGCGCTGCTCTGGCCTCAAGCGTTTCTGAACAGAAGGCAGAATGATGCTGTTTGGGGAATTCGGCAGACAGGTGCTCCAAACCGTTCGTGCTTCTTTTCGTTTGACGTTCGTCGCTTTCTGCTTTATCGAGAAGACATTTAAACTGACTGAAGACGAACAGCTTCATGTGTCTGTTCTGTCATTTAACGCTATGAATGTTCTCCCTTTTACACACAGATTCTCGTATCCGTCACTTTAAGAAGCGGTAAATACATCTTCAGAAGCATTCTCATCCATGAAGACCTTTAAACTGAAGCTGTTTTAGCAAATCAAAAACATTATCGCATCCGAAAGGAATCGCATGGATCAGTAAAGTGCACTTGTCCCTGGAGGAAATAGTGTTTCACGCAGGGTTTACCTTGGTTTTTTTTGTTTGTTTGTTTGTTTTTGTACAGAAAATCCAATTCTGACACTTTCCGTTGCCGCATATTGGTAATGGAGGATCTCAACATACTTTATTTACTGACAGAGGGCAAGAGAAGTGCCATTTTGTTTGTTTTTTCTCATTCTTAAGTGCACACATTGTCACCACTGCGTTCAACTTTCGGGACAAACACAGCTCTATTTGATTTAGCTCCTCTACTACAGTATATTTCCCAGCTTTCACTCTTGACTGCCCCTCACCACTCGCTCATACACTTCCATCTTTCATTGCTTCTTGATTCAGCTGCTTGCCTGCGCGTTTGTGAAGAGTTCAGGAGACCTCCTTCAGGCTCATTTAGTCAGTCTCTCTTGAACATTGTGGACGAAACCTCTACAGTAGATGGACGTGCAATATCTATAGGCTGCTCTGTGCTCTCTGTTGAGGTGTGTGTGTGTGTGTTTTCTGTAAACACATTTATAGGACGATCAGTGGACAGGAGCAACAGTCGCGTCAGTGGTGAGTAGTTTGCTGTGCTTGCTGGTACTGTTTCCAACAGTCGAGTCGCGTATGCCCGACCACTGCCATCCCGAAGTTTGTGTGAGAGTGTATGTATGTGTGTGTGTGTGTGTGTGTGTGAGAGATTGTGTGTCTGTGAGCACACAGTGGACTCTTGACTCCAGCTATTCGCTTTTCTCTGCCTTGTCGATGTTCTGAGAATCCCCCCTCTCGAGGACTACATTCTGCTTTTTGTGCTCTCACTGTTGACACACACACTCGTGCACTCGCATAAAGAAATAATTGTCCATCAGTATATCTTGATGTCATTGTTTGCAACATAATTAAAATAATAAAATATCTGTAAATATAAATCAGCTCATTTGTTGTGGTTTTCTTTGCCGTATGCAGGCGTGACCAAGTAGTGTGGTATTTTTAAATGTTTTTGAATAAATAATTTCCAAAAAGCGGGAGTGAAATAAAAATACTAATATTTGTGAAAAAGTTACTCGCTGAGGCCAAGCAAGGCTGAGCCTGGTCAGTATCTGGATGGGAGACCACATTTAAAAACTAGGTTGCTGTTGGAAGTAGTGTTAGGGTGCTTTCACACTAGCACTTTTGGTCCGCACCCGGGTTCATAGTGTGAACGTGTCTTTTGAACTCTGGTGCACACCCCTGAACCATACCAGAGTCCGTCTGAAAGGTGATCTGGGGTACGGTTCACTTCTGATATAAATGTATTCATTCATTCATTTTCTCGTCGGCTTAGTCCCTTTATTAATCTGGGGTCACCACAGCGGAATGAACCGCCAACTTATGCGGCAAGATTTTCTCTCACACACTGATTATCTTCATTTGATCTGTGAAGATCACTTTGATTTTGACCTTGCATGTTTCCATGGAAACAGAGGATGAAGCTGCACGCAGAGAAAATGTAAATAATATATATGAAAATAATGCAAGCCAATAATTTAAACTTAAAAAGAATTACCACTGCTTTTCTGCCATTTTTAGGCATCATTGGAAATCATGAAAGGTTGTAATGTTTAATGTTCCCTATACAGGTACAGACAGATGAGACCTTTTGTTGGGTTTTTAAATTTGGTCTGTAGTCTATTTCAGTGCACCTCACCAGACAGACAGCAGCGACTGTATCCTGGCAACTGTGTGTGTGTCTGTGTGTGTGTGTGTGTGTGTGTGTGTGTAGACTAAAGTCTGAGATGGACACTGTATGGAAAGGACGATGTGAGAGGGTCAAATACATTTTTCTTCCTCATCAGTATTTCTGTGTAGCTTAATTTTTTTTCATCAGTATAACAATACTGATGAATAAAATAAGCCACACAGAAGTACCAATAATAAAAGGAATTATGACTACACGGAAAAGAAACCTGATAAAGAATCAGCTACATTTTTGCATATGACGTACGGATGGCTATTATCTAAATACCATCATACAGTAGATACCCTATCTATCTGTGTGTCTGTCTATCTACCTATCCATCTATCTGCCTTTCCATCTACTTTTCTATCCATCTATATATCCATATATATTTTCATCTCTCCGTTTTGACTATCCAAATATCTATCTATTTATCCGTCTATCCATCTATCTATCTACTGTATCCATCTGTCAGTCTGTCTGTCTGTTCATTTTGTCTGTCTATGTCTGTGTGAATATTTATATGCATGTCTTTCTATCGATCTAGCCAGTATCTGTCAGTTAGTTGACCACTAGAGGGCGCTCTTGCGTTAAAAACGAAGAATCCTGCGGCTTCAAAAATAAATCTAAAAAAAAAATAAAAAAAAGTTTTATTCCAGATGCTGATTCTAATTTATAACACATGACTGCTCAAAACAGTCTGAATGCTCAAAGCCACGTGTTCTTACTAAAAAAAAAAATAAAAACTGGTTCTCGTTGCATTGACTATATGTGTGTCCCAAGACCACAAACCCAGTCATAAGTGTCAGTTTTCTGAAATCAAGATTAATATAACCTGTGTTGGGGGGTAACGCATTACAGTAAGATACTTTTTAGAAAGGTAATAATATTTTGAAGTATTTTAAGTAATAATGTACTATTTAGTTTAATCAACTTTTAAAGAATAAATTGCTGAAATAAAATTAGAGGTCACAATGAATCGCACGGTCAATGAGAGAGAATGTGTTCATTATTTTGAACACGTCGAAGAAAAGGCAAAGGGCATTATATCTCAATGGACAGTGATTTTACTCGAGAGTAATAGTACAAAAGTAGCAAACATTGCTTTAAACTTTCAATAATCAGAATGTATGGCATGTATAGTTCAGGGTTCAGGAAGTTCTCAGATAACATTATCTTTTTATCTAATATCTATTATAAAGGTAGGTGTAGGTTATACGGTGCATTGTTAATCGCAGAGCTCCTCTATTTAAAAAAAGAAAGAAAAACTAGTTCTGAAAGAGATCAAGCCTCAGCCAGGTAATAAGAATGTAACACAAGTAATGTACCATGTTACTTCTTATAAAAAGTAACTAAGTAACACAACTAGTTACTTTTTGGGGGAGTAACTCAATGTTGTAATGCACTACGTTCCGAAGTTACTTTCCACAACACTCAACACATCTGAAAGCTGAAGTGCAGGTCAATATTTGGCCGAGGCACAGTTATTTGACAGTCTAGAATTCAAAGGATCAAATAAATAAAAATCTGAATATTGAGGAAAAATAACTTTAAAGTCTTCCAAAAGGCGAGGCAGTGGCGCAGCAGGTAGAGCTGTCGCCTCACAGCAAGAGGGTCGCTGGTTCGAACCTCAGTTCAGTTGGCGTTTCTGTGTGGAGTTTGCATGTTCTCCCTGCCTTTGTGTGGGTTTCCTCCGGGTGCTCCGGTTTCCCCCACAGTCCAAAGACATGTGGTTCAGGTGAATTGAGTAGGCTAAATTGTCCATAGTGTATGAATGTGTGTGGATGTTTCCCAGAGATGGGTTGCGGCTGGAAAGGCATCCGCTGCGTAAAAACTTGCTGGATAAGTTGGCGGTTCATTCCGCTGTGGCGACCCCGGATTAATAAAGGGACTAAGCCGACGAGAAAAAGAATGAATGAAGTTTTCCTAAATATCAACAATGCAAAATACTAATGAATGAATATGTTACGATATATTTACAATTGATTATTCATGGAACGTTATATTTATATTTATATTAGCATACATGAAAAATCTGTGATTTTTGACCAATATACAATGTCACATTTTGCTAAACATTTTTAGACACATGCAACTTGCAGAGCAAAAAAAGTCTGGGAAAAGTTTGTGGAAAGCCTTGGACCAGAAACTTTGTTGTAAGTTTAAAAGTTTATCATGAATAAATGAGTGTAAAAAATTCGAGAATATATATTTGATTCCCATATTGTGCATTTTAAGACACTATAAACTCCTAAAAATCAAAACAGACCGGACTGCATTATTCATCAATGAAGTTCCACAACAAAAATAAGTAAATAAAATATCCCACTTTAAAAATATCTCTTTTGATTCCCACAAATACATAAAAAGACAAAGTCTACAAATATAGAGAGGTTAAATGTTTACAAGTGACTCACAGAAGCTGAATACCTGGCTGTCACTTCATCATCATCATCATCACTCCACAGCTTACACTGAACCTGTAAAATGTCAATGAGAGAAGCTGTGAATGGCAGGCAGACTTTCTGTGCTGTATACTGATAAATGTGTTTCAAGTCTGTTGAGCTGCACGTGTCGGAATCTGCAGGTTGTGTGTGAAACGGACGCAGACATGCACTAACGTTGACCGTCTGTGTGTTTGTATGGCATGTGTTGCCATGTTACGCAGCTCACAGCTGAGCGCTGATTGGTGGAGACACTCTGAGCGTGCGCTCGTCATCCAGGGTATCCCTACAAATCAGCCAATCACAGGCTGTTGCCAAGCGAGCGCTCATTCATGAAGATGGCAGCATGGCACGAGCCAGAAAACAAGCTTTCTAAATAAGGAATTTGAAATAATAGTAGGAGTAAAGTTGAGCCTCAATGCGGTTAATAATTAGCATCACAATGCAGGCGTTTTCTTTACGAAGGTTTAATACAATCCAAGGGCTATTTAAAATGTCTTTATGGAAGATAATTGCAACAGCGTAAATTAAAAGCCATCAATCTTAGGCTATTTAAAGTTAAATGTATGTATTTTGGAGTAATACATGCATTATTAACTATTAATATTAACAATAATAACCAGTGTTTGCTTTAATAAGTTTAATGAAATAAAGCTTTGAAAAAAATATCTTTGCCTAAAATGACAAATTGAAGAATGATTTTTTTTTTCAGAAATGGTTTCTGCGAAATTACAGTACAATAGCTACTTATTGTGAAAAATATCAGTGTAAGAGAGCTGGCCTGTAAAACAAGCTATGCCGAATATTTGATTTACGTCACCCATGACTCTGTTCACCGCGCCCTTGGTTGCTCAAGAACTTTTACTAATGGTAGGGGAAACACACACACCAGAGGCACATGCTTGTCCACGACCACCGAATAGGCCTTCAAAACAACAAAAAGAAATACTCGTCTTCTTTTTAAGAAGCTTTGCGCTTTGTTTTTGTCTGTGTACAATTAACAATTACTCCTCAAACACGCCTAACCACGATCTGGGCGTGGCGATTTGGACACTCGTTCAGGATGATTGGCAGCTACCAAGACAGTAAGGCAGAGGCATGCTCTATGGCAAGCGGTTTTAACATGTAATAATTGCAACTAAAATATAGCAGCCAACTTTACCCAGTAATGCCAATGCCAATGTGTAATGCCACAGCCTGATTCATGCATTTATTTATTTTAATTTTGCAATTTCGCAACAGAGATTGAAAAACGTCCTCATTTATATATATATATATATATATATATATATCTTTGAGATTTGTACTAGTTTTTCTTAAGGTCTTTGCGCACTGAAGTCTGACATTTTTTTATGCGTATTTTTCGTATTCATGTGCGAAAAATTTGTCACGTAAGCGAACCTTGCGCGGCTTCACGGTGGCGCAGTGGGTAGCATGATTGCCTCACAGCAAGAATGACCCTGGTTTGAGCCTCGGCTGGGTCAGTTGGCGTTTCTCTATGGAGTTTGCATGTTCTGCCCGTGTTCGCGTGGGTTTTCTCCTGGTGCTCCGGTTTCCTCCACAAGTCTAAAGACATGCGTTATAGGTAAATTGGGTAAGTTAAATTGCCCATAGTGTATGTATGTGAATAAGAGTGTATGGATGTTTCCCAGTAAAAGGTTGCAGCTGGAAGGGCATTCGCTGTGTAAAAAAAACATATACTGGATAAGTTGGCGGTTCATTTAGCGCTGGCCACCCTAGATTGATAAAGGGACTAAGCCGAAAAGAAAATGAATGAATGAACAAATCCTGCACACAGAGTCCAATGCGTCTTAATTAAAACATTACGAAAAACATGCAAAACATTTCGGTGTCAAATTTAAGCAGTGATACTTTGTTCTGCTCTCTTCTCCAATGAAGAAAAAGGAATAGGCTACTTATTGTTTATCCAATACTGCATAGAGGAAGAAGAGTTCAGCTCATTATTAACGAGCTGCGCTGGATCATCCCTAAATGCATAGTTTATTTCAGGAAATCGGAGGAATTTTGAGACATTGCTTGTGACACTTTAAACGCAATCTCATGGCAATTCGTAACTTTTTGATTTAGTGGCTAATTCGTATGAATTCGAATGATCTAATTCGTACAATTTAGTACGATTTGCTCATCACCCAATGATGGTTGGGGTTAGGGGTGGGGTTGGGTTTTATTTTATGCAATGTGTTTGTTATAAAGTTATCTGTAGCTCAAATGACGGCATTCGGTGTTTAGCTTTTTGCTTGTACAGTGGCTCTGAACAGTCAAAACACCTCTCAAGTAGTTTTTTTCATTTGCAAAAAGCTGAAAAAAGTCAGACCCGCAGGTTCCAGAAATTTTTATGACGGATGAAAGTTTCAGTGGCAGTGTGTCAATATTGACACAATAAAAGGTTGATTTTATTTTTATACATGCGAAATTTACGGACGGAAATTTCGGTTTCAGTGTGCAATAACTTTAAAGGGCAGCTATTTTAAATCGTTTTTAAGATTTAATATTAATATTATGGTTCTTCTGAGTGGGTCGGTTTAGGTTCAGTTCAAAACACAATTCAGATTTTTTTATTATATTGTGTTAAAAGTGTCAAAAGTGTACATGGTTCGTTGTTTTAGGGGTGTGTTGCTTCACATGAAAATTAGTGTCAAATTCCCATCCACCTTAAGAAGGGGGTGGAGCTCCAACCATGAGCAAACACACCTTAACCAATTAGTTAGGACCTGAACAGCATTTGATAATAACAGGCAGGTGTGTTTGATATGGGTTGCAATGGAAATCTGCAGGAACGTCGATCCCCAGGAACAGGGTTGGTCATGACTCATGCCTAATGTATGCCAACAGACTGGCAGACAGAGAGAAGCAACATGAGTGAGAGGACCATCATTCAGCCGTACATGTATGATTCGGACACAGACAAAGCAGAGACTACTGTTGAGGAATCAATAATCCTAATGTGCCAGAATGTGTCAGAGTGGTAGTTACAAAATCATTTGAGTCCTTGTTTAGTTTTGCAGCCGCTATGTAACGATGCATGTGTCATCCGTATAGTGATGCAGCGATTAACCAGTTTCACTATTAACAGCACTTTAATTCGTCACGGTTAATTAATCATAAAGGCCTCTTGACACCGTGTTTTTGCACCGAACAAAACTGCGGCAACTAAAAGTTATGCCAACTGTGTTCTAGTTTTAAAGTTACGCGCTTGTACACAGAGACTAATAACCACGCACACTGGATTAACTTTGACTGAGGCTATAACTAAGGCAAGTTTGTTATTTCCAATGGAGGGACGCGCATGCGGGGCAATTGCGCTCACACTGTTTAGGTGCACCTAGTTGAGATGACAGGGTGCTTCTATGACAGCAGGAAATGCAAACGGCTGAAGTTTAAGGAAGACGCAATAAAGGTACACAGTTGTGCAAACCCTATGAGAGCGACCATAGCCCCTTTCACACAGTGATACCGGTAAATTTCTGGAAAATTTCCGGAACGACTTTACCGGTATATTCAAAAAAGCGCTGTTCCCACAGGCGAGGACGTTACGGAAATTTTCAGGAAAAGAGCATTCACACATCCATTCCAAAATACCGGTAAATTCTGACATCATTCACCACAAATGAGCTTTAAACGGCTGCGCTTGTATTTGTAAACATTTGACTAAATTACAAACTCTGTGGATGACCAATATTGTGAACAACTTTCGCAGGATCACTTTCGCATGTCGAGATGTTCATAATATGTGCGTGTGCAGGCGCTCATAGGCGCACGCAAAGCTTGAAGGTAAACAAACAACGGCTTATCAAAAGCATCTCATCGATGATTATTTACACAGTTGGCATTAAGAAGAACATATAAACGTAACCTGACTAACTTCTAGCAGCTAAATGTGTCTGGAAAAATATTCAAAGGCTTTTATCCTCACAAACCGCGCGGACGTGAATGCGTCTGACTGTTGTGATTGGCTAAAGCAGACGTCTCACGTCAGCACGTTCTAGACGTGCACACGCTTATTACGGGAATCTTCCTTCTGCATTCACACAGCGCAGCGTTCCGGCAAATTGCCGGTAATGTTACAACTTCTCTTTCCGGAAAATAGCCAGAACGAATTTACCGGTATTTTCAAAAAGGACCTGTTCACACATACAACCTTTCCGGAACATTGCCTGCAATTTTCCGGAAAGGTCTGTATGTGTGAAAGGGGCTCATGTGGTCAATCGAGTGTTTTCAGAGAGAGTGTGAAAACTGTTTTTAATGACCCGAATCTTGATACGTAGCATTCATTGTGTGTTCAGCGCAAATGACGGCTAAATGTAAAATCTCTGTTGAGTCCAATGAGCCTTACATCCTAAAACAGAGCAAGGGTTTTCCCTTGCGCACATGTCAATAAATATTAGTGGGAGGAACCACACTCATACGTCAAGTTGTGGTCGGTCTAAAACCGCTCCAATTGGTCCAACCCTTTATGTTGTTAAATTGAAAAAAAAGGACTGTGTTTATATCACCCTAATATGACGGTCTATACACTATACCTACACACATGTCTGTCCAAACAGCTTGAAAAGTAGATTTTTCACCATAGGTGCCCTTTAATGAAAGCGATAAATGTAAACCCGCTTGCCATACACGGTCTCGCCATGCAAATGAGCCGCGCTCAGCCTTTAGCGGCTGCCCATGTGGACAGACACCATGCCTTGTTGTTCTCCACGCTCATTGGTTCCCTCGCATCGACATGTTTTAATCATGTGCTAATGTACTGCAGGGCAGAGCTGCCGCGAAAACCTGGAAAATGGAGTACACGCACGCTTCACACCATATTCTCTATTTTCGCTCTTCCAAGCGCACAGAAACACATATGTACATCCCCTAAAGTGTCTTGTGTATCTATGCATGTCATAAATATCACTTGTATAAACATTTCGACGTCCATCATGGGATTTAGCTCAGTGCGGAATGCCGATCCGTCGGCTCTGCGTGACAGCGTGGTTCCGCCGTGGTTTCCCGTCGCTGGTAGTAGGAGGGAGGAGTAGCGCCGCTGAGGGCGGATCCTGAACGGTATGCCTTGTTGTGTTTTCTGTTACTCCAATCGCCATCTTGTTGCCAGTGAAGTAATGTGTTTCTGATGAATTTCGGGAGCGCCCTGGATGTCTTATGACTGTCTTTGGAAGCCGGTGGATTATACTGTGATTAACCCACTACACAAATACGCACCGGGGGCTTGCACACAGTTGAACGGGAACGCGTTTAATCGGTGTTCAAAATGAGTATCGAGACCTTATTGGAGGCGGCCAGGTATTTGGAGTGGCAAGCCCAGCAACAACAGATTACACGTGGTAAGGCGGGGGGGACGTGGGTGATTGCATAGATAAAAGGGATATGTGGGATATGTATGAACTGCCTGGGATTTAACCATGCAAATTGCGTATTCATGCCGGTGCACGTCAAGAGAAACAAACTACAGTGATATTTTCTTGTAAAAGCTGCAAGCATTGTGAATAATAGCTGGGTGATGGTATCCACTGGTTTCCAGTGTTTGTAGGCTGCAGTGTTCGTGACTGGGGCATATTTCGCTTACTCGGTTTCCGGGTTAAATCCAGGCTATATATAGTGTGCTACTATACTCGCTCAATAGCGCTGCGGTGGGTGGGTACATTTGTACTCGGGCCGTCGTGTGTTTTATGTTTACTGCCACACACACATTTAAAAAAAATTATATTGGCTTTGTTGTATTCCTAAAACAACACGAACGGTATTTATCAACAATGTATCAGTAAACAAGTTCATTCAAAGTAGCGAACGTCGTGTTTCTTATCCTCTGGGCGGTGGCAATAGACCAAAGGATTTTTTTTACATAATGACATTGCCGAGCGCTTATCTCGCTCATGACTTTCAGGACCAGCCTACTTTTCTGTTCATACTTCCTCGTATTTATTTTCTCATCGGCTTTTTAAAGTTCTTAAACCTTCTAGACTTCGACAATCCATGAAACAATCAAAGTCACAATTCACCCTCGACACATTGGTCGTTTTAAACGGAGCAGGAGGCTTTTTGTTTCATTCTCAAGATGACGTGTCAGTGAAGCCACGCCCACAGCAAATACCGCGTGCTAAAAGTCCGCCCTCTCCGACCACGTGCGCGCCAGACAGCCCCCCCTCCCTCCTCAGGTCACAAACCGGGGAGAAAATAGGGCATCGCCGCCCTCCCTCAATGCAGAAGTTATATAATGTGCATTTTTTTCATGCATATCCAAGTTTGAGCTTTGCACGCTGGTCTACTCTGCAGACTGATTTTCTTGGAATACAGATGCTGAACAGTGCTTGCAGTATTTTTGAACGTCTCTGCAGGTTTTTCTCTATTCGGATGTGCATACTTTGCATTCTCTTGCACAACATTTGACCTTGTACCAGATCTGGAAAACTGCATGCGATCTCAAATTGAAGACCCCTTGTGGGGGGGGGGGGGGGGGGGGGGGGTATTTAAACAGAACAATTCCCTCATTAAACTGTGCTATCAGTAAAGGGATAGTTCACCAAAAACTGACCACAAGAGAAGATGTTGTGAACATAATCTGCAGTCATTGACACCCATAGCGTTTGTTTCTCCGACTGTGCAATAGTTACAGGTTTCTAACACTCGCCAAAGTGTCTTCTTTTGTGTTTAACAGAATAAAGACACTCGTAATTGTAGACTCAGAACCACTTGAGAGTGAGCAAAATGTACATTTTGGCCAAACAGATCACCTTAAGGGATTTTATAAACAGATTGAAAGCAAATATATAATAGATGCAAAAATATACATCTAAATGACATCCCTAAATGAAGGTTCTTATACTTGAGATGCAAAATGAAGAATTCAGGTCTTGTTTTCTGAGAATCTGCACTAAGATACCTTAATTTATGCTCTAAACATTAACAAATGATACTGAAGTATGGAGACTTTCAGTTTGCAATCAAGTTGCTAGTCCTGCTGAAAGATATTTGTTGTTTAATCATATTTCAGCTTTAAAGAAAAAAGATCCTTTAAATCTTAATTTTGCTTTCCAAGTGAATCCGCTTGTTAAGTTGTGACGTGTTTGTGACGTATGTAATCAGTAGGCCCACACGGAATCTGCGCGCGCAGATTTCTGCAGTTTTTTAGCCCATCATTAATTCTGTTTATTTATTTTTTTACTTTTATTTTACAAATTTATTCAGTTTTTAATCAGTAATTTATTACTTTTATTTTACATATTAAGGTTTTAGTTATGATACTACTAAATTCACTGCAGAAATAGCAAAAAAACCTCAGCAGATTCCGTCCGGCCCTGGTAATCAGGCCCGGATTGGCTAATCGGGAGGACCGGGAGAATTCCCGGTGGGCCAGTCCGTTTTTTGGCCGCGAGGGCTGGTGTTTCTAGCTGCTTGCACTCTCAGCAGTCACACTTTTTTTCATTTATTTATTTATTTGACCATAGCCTCACTCTTTTTATTCATTATTTTGCCGCAGCTCCGCTCTTCTTATTTATTGTCTGGCAGCCCCATAAGCAAAATGCAGCATGCAGGGTAATGATGATGTCAATATCATTCGGGCCACAGAAGTATAACAGTGCCATTGTGGTCCAGTGATCAGCACGTTGCGTTACGACGCCGTCGATCCGTGTTCTAACTTCACTTGCGTAATTCTTTTTTTATTTTTTTTTTATTTGTATTGTTAAAGCCTGGTTTATACTTCTGCGTCAAGTGACCGGTGTGACCCACAGCGCATGCAACGCACGTGGCTGTGCATTTATACTTCTGCGCGCTGTCTCTGTTGGTCTGCATTAGCACTTTCGAAACTCTAGTTGGCAGTGAGGTGTAAATGTTCCTCTGTGTCGAGTTTCTTCGCTGCTGTTTTGCTTTTTCTGAACACTTCCGGGATGTACAAGTGGCTCAAACTCGCTCATTTTGAGGCAGGAACCGGCGGACGTGCAACAACTTTAACTATGAGGTAAACACAAAACAAAACTTTCCATCCGGAGCTCCTTCACGGGACTCCACACTTGTAAACAATCGCTTAATCAGGCTCGCGCCATTCCCGCGGCTCTCGGTCCCACCCAGACTCGTCAACGCTACCAAGCCGACCAATCAAAGAGCTTGCACTACGCGTCGTTGCGACGTGCAGTTACATTTTTTGAGAGGTGCACGTCAGCGCCGGCCACGGCGAAGGGCTATGCGTCAGCGCCGTAGCATACGCCGGCGTTTGACGCAGAAGTATAAATCAGCCTTAAGACATATAAAACTGTAAGGTTGTTGAACATTTGAAGTTCTAAAGCAGCTGTTTTCTTGAAAAAGACGTGATTGCGTAATTAGAAACTGAATTGGAAATGACGTTATTTTAATATAGTCAGTCGTGAACTGAGGTGGGCCGATCTAAGGCTTGAAACTCCAGGGCTGTAAAGGAGTCCCACTCCGGCCCTGTATGTAATACTGTTTCCGGGTCCAAGCCGCCACTCATTTAAATTGATAAAGTACTCTTTTATGACCACTTTTTATTCATATTACACATTAAATGAATTTTATATAAAGTCATAGTGTACACAACAATCTCTGGGCTTGCTTCATCACAAATACCAAAATTTTACCAGTTTAAAAAAAATTTATTACTTTCTGGCCATTGGATTTTAGGCATGAATATTGCGATCGTGATTTCTGAAGGTATTACATCGCTTTGTAAACGTTTATTACTAGCATTTGATGAGTCTCCCTATTCAGTTTCATAGAGCGCCTGGACCCGGAAGCCACTTCACGTAACGTCACACTTAACAAATGGACACGTCTTGTTTGATTCATTTGAGATTCTTTAGATATTTGTGCTGTAAAAAAGTTGAGAGACAGCATGCATGCATCAGAAAATAATAATGTTTTGCACAAAGAGAACAGAATGTACAGTAAAGCCTATTTTCATATGTGAAAATAATTCCCTGGAGTCATATGTTTCACGGGTATATTTTTGCCAATAGCCATAATCTGTTCTGAAAAGGTATTTTCTTAATTTCCAACTGTAAATATATCAAAACTTAATTTTTGTGAAAAATATGCAGTGGTAAGAATTTGGACAACTTCAAAGGTAATTTTTGCAGTATTTAAATGTTTTTGAAGCCCTTAAATTCCAGATTTCCTATTCAGATAATAGTTTTATCTCAGTCAAATATTGTTGACTGAGTTTCATGTGATGTATGACCCCCCCATTCACACGGGGCTTCAGCATCAACGCTTGACTAAGAAGCGTGTCTGAAGTTGGGGCTGACGCAATCGTCATAGCAGCGTCAGCCAATGAAATTCAGGCCCCGTTTACACTAATGCGTTTTCATTTCAAAATGCATACGTTTAGCTACGGTTGCTCCATCCGCCCTCACTACGCTGGAGTTTTCGAGCGTCGAAAACGGAGCGTTTTGGAAATGCTGGAGAGGCCGTTTTCATTCTAAAATGCTGCTGCTCCGTCTCAGTGTAGATGGGGGAAAACAGAGACATCTGAAAACGGAGGTGTGACATTCGCCTCTCTGATTGGGACTTTTCCTCAATATTAAGTAGGATAAAGTTACATGCAGTTCAGGCATCATCTCCTTGTATGTTCAGACTTTACAAGTTCGATATGGAAAACAGACTCACGAGGACATGTCTGGTAAATCTTCAAAGGTGAACAGTGTACTTTATAACCTTATTCACATCACCCCGGCTACATTGTTTCACTTTCTCAACAATAAAATGAAAACATGATATAAGCAACTGCCTATTTAAATTTTGATATTACCAACTTAACAGACAGCAGAAATGCTGAGGCGTTGTGCAGCATAAATAAGCGTCATTTTCACTGAATGCATATTTATAACAAAACAGAGCCTATAACAACTGCCTCGTTTCATTTTCAGTGAAAATACAAAACATACCCTCTCTTTTGCTGAATATCAGTTTTAATAATTAACATTGTTAGTTTTTGAATGTGAATATCTTTTTGAACAATTTTCGAGAGTGTGACATGCTTGGCCTCAATATCAGATTGAAGAGACTTGATGTATGTAATCTGCACAGCTTCTTCGTTTCAATTTAAAAAATCAAAAATCTGTCTTAATTTACTTTCTCTTTACTTGCTCCATACCACTTTAGAAAACCTGTAACCTGCAACTTCAAAAGTGTTTAATTTTCAGTTTCAAACATTCTTCAAAATATCTTCTTTTGTGCTCAACGGAATGAAAAAAAAAATCATTATGGTTACAGAACCACTTGAGAGTGAGTAAAATGTTAATTTTGAACAATAATCCCTTTGGGGGATTTTATTCACAGGTTTGTAGAAAATGTATAATAGATCCCTAAATTAAGGTTCATATACAAAGAGATGCAAAATGAAGAATTCACGTCTTGTTTTCTGAGAAACTGAACAAAGACAACTTAATTTATACTATAACAAATTATATTAAAGTATGAAGACTTTCAGTTTTTAACACATGTAACCTGCAACTTCAATAGCATTTGGTTTTCCTACTATGGACGTCAATAGTTACAGGTTTCAAACATTCTTCAAAATATCTTCTTTTGTGTTCAACAGAACAAAACAAATCAAATGTTTGGAGGCACTCGAGGGTGAGTGAGCAGTGAGTACATTTTCACTTTGGGATGATGATCTGGGCGAGGCAGTGGCACAGTAGGTAGTGCTGTTGCCTCACAGCAAGAAGGTCGCTGGGTCGCTGGTTCGAACCTCGGCTCAGTTGGCGTTTCTGTGTGGAGTTTGCATGTTCTCCCTGCCTTCGCGCGGGTTTCCTCCGGGTGCTCCGGTTTCCCCCAAAGACATGCAGTACAGGTGAATTGGGTAGGCTAAATTGTCCGTAGTGTATGAGTGTGTGTGTGAATGTTTGTGTGTTCAGAGATATTTCAGAGATGTTTCCCAGAGATGGGTTGCAGCTGGAAGGGCATCCGCTGCGTAAAAACTTGCTGGATAAGTTGGCGATGAAAATGAATGAATGAAGGATCTATCATGATCATTCAATGAATGATGATCTATCCCTTTAAAAGGCTGTTGACAGATGACTTCAGCAGTGTACTTTTCAGTAAATGCATGTTTCTCCCACAGTTATATAACAGAGAATTGTGCGTCCCCTGAAAACACCCAAGCTTTCTTTAGTTTTTGACGTCTTCTGAAAATGCTTTTCAGTCAATATTATTATTCCTGCTGATGCAGGAGGATTCCCGCATGTCGTGGTTTAATATGTGCAAGCGTTTCACATCAGGCCTTTGTCTATTCTGTACTCGCTTTTGTCAGTTAAGGTGCAGTTTATTGCGCAGGAATGTCTTGCGCGGCAAATGACTCTTTTTGGCTCAAAGACCAATCGGGGAACAGCCCTAATTCCTCCCCCATTCGATTTAGGATTTAAACATTGATCTTGCGTCACACCCTGGATGCAGCTGAATATGTATTGATGAGGCTAAACAATAGGTTCCTCCATCAGTGATGGAAATGGCTGGACGCGAGGGCATTTTTGGCTGCAGTCAGATGGTGTGACCGGGCCTCTGATTCTTTAGCTCTCTCGGCTTCTCCTGCAGACTGATTGCTGTGTGTGTGTGTGTGTGTGTGTGTGTGTGTGTGTGTGTGTATGTGATGTCATTGTAGAGCTGGAGACTGGCGAAACTCGTACTGGGGCTTCTCTCTTAAAGAGACAGAGCGACTCTTAGAGACTCACACCCCATCCTCATTCAGAGTGAGGAGTGCAGAGTGAGTGCAGATGGAGTGCATCTGTTTGTTTTTTTCATCTTAAAAATAAAAGGATTTAAGCTTTAGTGCATCATTGTTCATCCTAAAGCTATCATTGTGTGTGATTTAGTCTCTGTAGTTTCTCATTATTAATTTACATGGTTATCAGAGTCAAGACAAGCACTAATTGGTTCCATTACTGATCTGTAAATTGGTATTGAACAGTAATATCTCTGGTGATATTAATTAGCTTCGGCTCTATAGTTGGTTTTTAGCCATTTTGCATGAATGTGCATTTCTCTTAAAGGTAAAACAGATGCTATAAATACCTCAATAGTTAATGCTACAACACACTTTGAAGTAAATGTCATTTATTTCAGGCTGTTTATGGATTATCAGTCTGTCTGAGGAATAAGTATGTTAAGTCAGAGGAAGATTAATTACTACAAGACAAGACCTGGAGTGAAATCATTTCAAATATGCAGTGTCAATCAGTGCTTATGGTGCTCATCTCCTTATAGTCTTAAGAACAAAAGCAGTGCAAGTATTAGTTCAGTTTTTTGATAGCCAATAGCAGGATTACCAGTGGATATCGTCTTAATACATAACAGTATGTTCATTAAAGGAAACATATTTGGTGATCAGTTACGTTTATTCCACTATTATAACTCATAAATAATGGTTTGACATCAGGGATTCGCTGAACTTGAGTTTTGGATGGCCTTGGCTGAAAACCAAAACAGAAACTGAAAATGCTTTGAAATAGTTATTTATTGTGTCAATAAACAATAGAGGTTATTATCGAAGACTTTAAATATTACTCGCTAACTTAAATTTTACTGATTAAAGATAAACACAAGCCAGTAAAATAACTTTATTATATAGACAGTAACATTTTTATTTACTTAAGTGTGACGTCACACGAATTGTATGAGGAGACTCAACAAATAGTAATAATAAATGTTTACAAAGCGATGTAATACTTTCGAAAATCATGCTCGCTATATATATATAATAATAATATTTATATATATATATATATATATATATATATATATATATATATATATATATATATATATATATATATATATATATATATATATGTATATCCAAGCCTAATATCTGATGGACAAAAAGTGATTCATTTTTGCTAATTTGTTCAAATATTTGTGTCTGTGATGCAGCAAGTCCAGAAACTGTCGAGTACACCATGATTTTATATCCTATCCCATATAAGAAATGTAACGCTTGTAAATGCTATCCCAAAAGAATTAGTGCATCTAACAAAAAATCATATTCCCTATTAGGGCTGCTCGATTTTAGGAAAAATCATAATCACGATTATTTTGGTCATAATTGTAATCACGATTATTCAAAACGATTACTGTTGAAGTCAAAATTATTAGCGCTCCTGAAAATTTTTTTTAAATAAATATTTCCCGAATGATGTTTAACAGAGCAAGGAATTTTAACAGCATTTCCTATAATATTTTTTCTTCTGGAGAAAGTCTTGTTTGTTTTATTTCGGCTAGAATAAAAGCAGCTTTAAATATTTTGAAACCTATTTTCAGGTCAATATTATTAGCCCCTTTAGGCAATATATATTTTTTATAGTCTGCAGAAGAAACTACTGTTATAGAATGACTTGCGTAATTACCCTAATTAAGCCTTTGAATCTGAATGCTTGTATTTTGAAAAATATCTAGTCAAATATTATGGGCTGTCATCATAGCAAAAATAAAAGAAATTAGTTATTAGAAATTAAAGTTATTAAAGTTATAGTTAATATAACTTTATATAGTTAGTTAACTAATGAATAGTTATTAAAACTATTATGTTTAGAAATGTGTTGGAAAAAAAAATCTTTACATTAAACAGAAATTGGGCGAAAAGCGTTGCTAATATTCAGGAGGGCTAATAATTGCAAGTGGTGCTCGCTGCAGAGCCATTTGAGGATTTGTTTATTTATTTTTATTTTGCAAAGAGCTGCACAAATTACACGGAGTCACATATAAATGAAAAACAAAAAACAGAATAAAAACATTAAGATGTTTTAAATGGTGTGCGTCAAAGTAAATAAATAAGAGCATATAAAAAATATACAACATGCATAACAGTAGAAAGCATATTAATATACTGTAGGTCTTAAAAATTATCTAAATTAAGCAAATCAGTCATTCGTTTTCGTCCAGCTTGGTCCCTTGTTTATCAGGCGTCTCCACAGCGGAACGAACCACCAACTACTCCGGTATATGTTTTACGCAGCAGATGCCCTTTCAACCGCAACCGAGTAATGAAAACACACACACACACACACACTAAAAAAAATTATTCAAAGATGATTACTTGGATTTACAAAATTTTTTTTTAAGTTAAGTCCTTATAAACAATTTATTTGGGCTGAATTTAAACAAACAAATTAGGTTGAACATTACCAAATTCAATATGTTTGTTTAAATTTAACACATTTAATTTGTTTGCAACAATTTTGTAGACATATTGATTTTTTTAGTGCACAAAGAACAATTTGTTTGACTGTGGGGGAAACCGGAGCACCCGGAGGAAACCCATGCCAACACGGGGAGAACATTCAAACTCAAGAAATGCCAACTGTTTAAGATGGGACTTGAACCAGTGACCTTCTTGGTGTGAAAACAATAATTATAGTAATAATGGCAGTAAAACTGACAACATTAACAAATACTACTACTGTTTTCTAAGTTCTAACATTTCGTCTTTTCTTTTTTTTCTTGTCCAGAAGAGGAGGAGCGGCGAGAGAAGGCTCTTCTGTCCCGTGAGGCCGAGCACAAGCTCTCGGCTCCTGTTATCCAGTCGGTCCAACTCAATCATGTGACCTGGACAGAAGAACTGAGGCTCGAACCTCAGCGCCAGCAACAGCAGCCTCCGGTGCCTCCGCCTCCACTCCCTCCTGCTGTTCCCATCACCGTCATCCCCATCCCGGTGGTCACTGCCAGCCCTGCGGTTCCTCAAATTCAGCCCGCTGCTGCCCTGCACACGGCTCCCACCCTGCCTGTGGTCTCGCCGCTGACCAGCGCTCTGTCCCAAAGCAAAGACATGCTTTCGCCTCAGCAGCATCGGCATCTGATCGCTCACGTGAAGGCAGAGACTAACAGTGTAGCTCTGCCCAACAACAGTCCCCAAGCAGCGCAGACGCAGAGCCTCCTGCAGCCCTTTCCAGCCTCCATCATCACAGCCCAGCAACACCTGCTGCCCCAGCCCGCACTCACCCAGACCCAGCCCACACCAGCACAGGGGCAGCCGGGGCAACTGGGACAACCGGCCCGGCCCAATGGAGCCACAGTGGAGGATCCTAGAAATCTGGATGGGAAGAGGAGACCTGGAGGGTGAGTTGTGTTCTGTGAGTTTGTTAACAAGAAAGTAGAGCTGCTTAAATTGGTGGATTTAAATAATTTTAATTAATAAAATTTGTAGAAATGATATTTGCTGTGCTCACCTTCCTTTATTATAATGATAAAAAACAATAATAGTAGTAATGATAATAATAATAATAATAATATCACAAATACTACTAATGTTACTAGTAATGCTTATAAACAAAAATAAACATAATAATGAACTAAAATATAAATGGAGATTAGTCAATTAACAATGATAATATTATAACATCAGATATAATAGTTATTTATTGAAAAATGGCTCGCGCTGATAATGGCGGACGTGAATCAACAAACTGAGGATATGGGGAGGTCAATCAATGGGCCTGTCAATCAATATTGGTGGGCGGGGGGACCGCACTCTTGCGTCAAGTTGTGGTCGCTCTAAAAACCGCTCCAATTGTTCCACCGTTTTTAAGTTGTTGAAAAAAAAAATAAATAAAAATAAAAAACACTGGTTGTGTTTATATCACCCCAATATGAAGGTCTATGCACTATACTTATGCTGTGTTCACACCAGACGCAGAACGCGCAGATAAATCAGGCTATTTGTTCGTAAATAGCCGCGTGAACATTTGAGTTTGCTCGCTTCATTCGCCCGTCAAACCCTGCTTCATTCGCGTGTCAAATTCACATCAGAACAGACGCGGATTTGCGTGATGGGCAGGGCTTCTGTCTGCCCGAAGACTCTAGCTTCATAGCTAAATGGTTAACATGGATTTTATGAAGAAAATAACAGTGTTTATGTGCTTTATGAAGACTGAAAAACAGCGAAGATACGTTTAGGGTCGAGTCCACTACATCCTTTCAGAGGTGCATCCAGCTCTGCGAGCTCATAAACTCCTCCAGAAACTTAACCTGGATGACGGAGGCTTTCAGCGGTGCTTCTGACTGAGCCAAGCCGAGTTTGATGAACTGTTGTCGGTGAAGGCTGGAGGATTTCCCTCGGAACACCGACAACAGGTTCTACGTCACAATCACGCCCCCACAAGAGCAAGCTTCTGATTGGTTAACGCGGCGCGAATGTACGCTGAAGTTCAGATTTTCGAACTCAAGAGATTCGCGTGAAACGCTTGTTAAGCGCGTCAAACGCGCAAATCGCTCAATTCACCCCGCGGTATTCGCGCAATTTGCGTCATTCGTGCCGCAGGATGTCTATTCGCGCGTTTGCATTGACTTAACATGTAAATCACTCGCGCTTGACACGCGTTCCGCGTCTGGTGTGAACCCAGCATTACACACATGCCTGTCCAAACAGCTTGAAAAATTGATTTTTCACCATAGGTGCCCTTTAAAAAGAGAGAAAAAAAAACATCAGAATTATTAAAACTTCAGAATTAAGATCAAATAAGGGGAAATAATTTAATTTCTTAATTAGACTGACTACATTTGCTCAGAGAAACTGCAATGTCTAGTTGGTTTATGGGCCATTGTGTCATGAATGTGGGTGTGTGTTGAATGTCTAAATGGATGTTTAAGTGACCTAAACCTACAGGTTCAGAGTTTATGTGGAGAGGCATTTACTGCAAACTAAGCCTCTCCGAGACCTCGAAAACATCAGCAAATAAAGTGCTGCTCGCGTGTAAAAAATAAATGCATGTAAAAGCACAAAGCCATATTTTACTTTCAGTTTTTTTTTTCGATGGTGAGGCCCTACAAGAAAGCGATAAAGTGTTCAAATCAACTGAGATTAAATTGTGGGACAGACTGTAATCATACAGTGTCTGCAATCATAACCCAATCAATGGTTTCAGCTGTTTTGTTAGGAGATTGCAATTTTTAAAACTAGGCTGCTGTCCTGAACGCTGACCCATGATGTGAAATAACACTGCAAACGCTGTCATTCTTGATGTCACCTTTTACACACCCTCATGGAAAACCTTAAATTTAATTTAATTAAAATTAATTAACTAATTTGTGACTAAGATATTACAAAAGCAATTAAGACAGGAGTGAGCAGTACGATCAATTCTATTTCATTTTAATTTTGTAATGACATATTTCATGATAATACTGTAGGTATGCTAGTTATTCCTGAAAATCAACAGAAAGGCTTTATATAATTATAAACCTTTACTTAGTAAGTATATGTAAATACATCAGACATGAAAAGGACTTTACCTTATTTTCTTTTAGATTTTCTTTTATCTTTTTCTTTTATGTGGACCTAGATTCAAGTAATAAATAATGTATGAATTTGGATAAATGGTATGGCTGTATGCATGTATGTTTTTGACTCTTCTAAATCATAGAAATACAATAATGTTTTATTTAATACAAAAAGATATTAAAGAACATGAAATAAATATATTTGTTTATCTGAAAAACAATGCTGAAGTCAGTTAGGGTGCTTTCACACCTACACTTTTGTTTCGGAACGTGTCTCGTTTGGCCAGTTAGCGCGGTTCGATTGGCATATGTGAACAGGGCAATCGCGCTCTGTTCCGCGCCAAAGTAATCGCTCCGAGATCGCTTGAATGAGGTGGTCTCGGCTCGATTGAAACGAACCCTGGAGCGGTTCGATTGCAGTGAGAAAGCGATCCGATCCGAGCGCGGTTATATCACAGTGTTTTATGCATACGTAATAGGCTTACGGCTATATGAAGAGAGAATTATGAGTAGGGCGGGGAGTTTCGCGAGTCTCCGGATGCCCGCAAACGAGTGATGATCTCCCGGTAATCTTGCGTCTCCCTCCCTCAAATAGGCATCGTTGCGCACGCTTCTCACCCCTCCCCACCGCGTCTCTCCTCAGACACGTCGCACGCACGCACCCTGTCAATCACCACCAAACCACCACCTCTCCTGACAGCTGAGCGGGACGCTGCAAAACAAACCCTGACACTCTGACCAATGTGAGGAGAGTTTACTGAGAAGCCCCTGTCTACAGCCTGAAGATCTGGGCGGGGATGAATGTGGGGCGGGGCTGCACATTCAGCCACGCCCACCTGTAATTTCATTGGTTAGTGGAAACGTAATAGCGTGAATGCCCACTACGTGATGTCAGTAAACAGGAAATGCATTTACAACTTCTTAAATATTGTTTTTATTGTTAATAAACACAAAAATACACAAAAGTGGCCATTCTTGCTGAGTGTTTTATATGTTAATTATGTAAACAGTTATGTGAATTTCATAATGGTATTTCTCCTGCTAAAAAAATATTACAAAAGACTCAAAAGACTCTTTTCACAATGGTGTCACTTAAGACATTTACATTTACATTTACATTTAGTCATTTAGCAGACGCTTTTATCCAAAGCGACTTACAAATGAGGACAAGGAAGCAATTTACACAACTAAGAGCAACAATGAATAAGTGCTATAGGCAAGTTTCAGGTCTGTAAAGTCTAAAGTAGAAATGCAGTGATTTTAATTCTGATATTTTAATGGTTTATTATTTTGCTTCAAAATACTATTGCATATTGCATATTTACAACAAAGAGTCTGAAAAAATAAATAAATAAAATGCAATGTTTTTAGTTCAGTTAAATTTTTTACCTTTGAATGGGAGAGTTTTCTGGAAAATTTAAAATTGAAAATATTAAAATTATACTTTGATTTAAGGCTATTCAAAATATTGGCCATGTGTCCAATTGTTTCTCTTCCAATACTGCACTGCTTTAAGTTTTATTAAGAGCAGGGATAAGCTATTATTTATTAAGGGAAGTATATGTTTGTAACCTTTTTACTTATTAAATCTGATTATTTCATCATATAATGGATTTATTTTTCCTTTGATGCTGCTTTGAATATAAACGTATATTATCTGTTATATGTAAATGTTCCAGCATGAGTAAATTGTTTTATTATTTTTATTCATATTACATGGTGTGTCATCTATGGATGCAATCAATTTCATTATTTATTATTTACTAATCCATTAAAGTTTTGTTCAGTTTCTCCATTTGAATGAAGAGAGTGCTCTGCTGCCACCTACTGGGTGGATTTAATATCTGTTCTACATTTTTTTAGTTAATACGTTACAAATAATTTTATGATCTAATATTACTGAATTAAAATGCAGTCTTCTTGGTTTTATTTTTTAATACCACTTTCTAACAACCCTTCTGGATCCATTTCTGCACTGTAGATCTTTAAAAATATTTTTTATAATGATTTTGTTTGGTTATTAAGAGTCACATACAACATTGTTATTCTATTTCATTTAATTAGAATATTAAATACACTTAATATTATATTAATAGGGTGGCACAAATGGACAGTTTTATTTATTACTTATCTATCAGGACACAAATTAATGAAAATAAATTTTCATTAATTTGTGTAAAGCACTCGTGTAAACTTCTGAATTTTTTATTTGACAAATGCTGATAAATACATACCAACTTCCTCTTCAGTAAAAACAGCAACACAAAGCAATACACTCAGTTGAAAGTCCCTCTTTCTCGGTTCAAGTAAAAATCTGGCAGATGTTTTTTTAGATGTCAGATGTCTCACCTACAGAACATCTGTGTATGCACATGCACACATGTACAAAAGGAAGACTGACAATTTATAGAAAATAATAATAATAATTTAAGATACAGCAGTTTGTAATCATTATTACCTTTAATAAACATAAAAACAATTATATATTATTTTTTGTATATAATTATATACAGGGAAATTCCACTACAGAAGTAACAATCTGCTGAGCAATATATTGGGAAGTCATTTGTTGAACAGAATGCTTGCAGGACCCCCCTCTCGCCATACCCAACAGACAAAGCACTTTGTCAAAGTATATGGCACTCTGATCGATGACACCTAAATAAAATCAAGTACATATTTAAGCAAGACACAACCATAGTTCAAAGTTTTAAAACTAACGGAGTACTGTAAAAAATGCTTGGCATATTCTGTACTCTTTATCATGTGTACACACACACACACACACACACACACAGACACAGCCTGCTTCTTGAATTTTGGATTACTGACAATGGCTC